ATCTTTAGTATTAAAGTAGTTAAAGAAGTAGTAGATAAATACTTAGAAGAAAGAATTACTAGATTCTTTAACGCCTTACACTTCTTCTATTTTTTTAGTAGTTATTATAGTTCTAAATAACTTATAAAGAAGCTAATACTTCTTTACTTAATAGCTTAAATACTAAATAGATATTATACTCTAGAGATTATATAATTAAAAGATAAGTTCTAAATACTTAACAGTGTTTAATACCCTCTATCTAATAGTAGAGAATACTTTCTAAATACCTTTATAGTTAGTATAGCTTAGCGTTTTACTTACTATAATACTCTATTAGATTATTAGTTCTATTAAACTATAGTTTTATACTAGTGTGCGTTCTAAATATACTATTATAGTATTATCTTAATCTAGCTAGCTTAGTATTTTATTATACTTCTAATACTACTATTCTAGATATTAGTTAAATTAATATTTTCTAGTGTTTCTAAGTAGTTACCTTATCTACGTAATTATCTTATCTAATATTACTTAGTAGTAAGAACGTAGTTAGCCTAAATATAACTACTATTATAGTTCTAGCTAATCTAAAGAAAAGAGCTAAGTCTATACTTATTATATTTATTATAGTTATTATTACTATATACGTTATATTAATATATACTAACTACTTCTTATACTACGTAGTAGAATATATCTCTATAGGCTTTACTATTTGTTTAGGTATTAGAAAGTATAAAAATATATTACTATAAGAATATAAAGTAATTAGTATAGATAAGAAAGTATATAGGTAATAGTTTTAGTAGAAAAAAGTTCTATTATAGAGAGATTCTATTATCTAAAGTATTATATAAGAGTCTAATACTAAAAAGTATAAGTAAAAGATAAGATATTTAATAATAAGATAATTCTAAAAAGCTCTTATTAAAAGACGTTCTCTCTTTAGATAATTCTTAGATTATTAAAGATCTAATTTATATAAGAATACTTTATGCACTAGTATATTACTAAGAATTTTACTACTCTAGATATCTATAGTTAAGCCTCTAGAAGTAATACTAGCTCTTTCTCTACTACTTCTTTTAGTTTATAACTAAAGAAAAATACTCTTATAATTATCTAGGCTCTATACACTAAAGCTAAGAACTAAGTTCTTATCTTAGTCTAGAACTAGAATCTCTAGAATCTAAATATTAATAGTAAAATAATAGATTTTATTACTAGTCTTAAATAGTAGTCTTCTAAGTAATAGAAGGTTATTCTTAATATATTTATAACTAACGTAATCTTTCTATTTAACTAGATTACTAACTTTATACTTAAAGTATCTAATATAGTTAAGGCGCTACTAAAGCTTATAGATAAGTATAGTAGTATTAAAGTATTTAATAGCTAGTATTAAGTCTTAAGCTAAGCTAAGAATACTAAAAATAAGTATATTATAGAGCTAACTACTACTACTAAAAGTGTTAACATATTAGAGCCTAGTCTTATAAGCTACGTCTCTTACTTTTTAAGTAAGGTTTTATATAACTACTAGGCTATATCTAATATATAGTTCTATCTTAGACGTCTAGATATTAGTAATATAGCTCTTTTTTTAGTCTAAGTAGTAGCTATTTATATCTATACTCTATATAAAAGTACTAAGACTAATATTATTATATAAGACTAAGCTATCTTAAGAGATTCTATTAAGATAACTATTTAGTTTACTAAGAAGAACTTACTTTCTAAGATACTATCTCTTTTAAAGTATTCTATTAAAGTATTAAAAAAGAACTATAAGAAGTGTAGTATAACGCTAAGTATACTTAGCCTTACTACTAGAAATATTATAGTTTCTTTTACTTATAAGTATAAGAAAGATAGTACTTATAATAGTTAATATAAGTTTTAGTAATATATCTTTCTATATATAGCTAATAGATATTCTAATAAGAACTACTAGATTACGTATACTTTTTATAGTAGTAATAACGTAATAATTACTAACACTATAGCTAGATACTAGATAAAGCTTTACTCTACCTATTAATTAGCTATCTCTATTATAATAGAACTTAGATTATCTTTATATAAGTTAAAAGTAATTAATAAAAGTAGTAATTATATTAAAGTAGAGCTAAAAAAGATTAGAGTAAGATAACTAGGTAGAGCTAGATTAGTTACTTCTTCTATAAACCTAGAGAAGTAAGTATACTAAGAGCGCTAGGCTAGTCTTAAAGTAGTTAAGAAGAGAGTAGTAGTAGCTAAGTTATAGAAATTAAAGCTTTATAGTATATAAATAAGCCTTCTACTACTACTACTACTACCTAGCGCTAGCGCTCTAAAATCTACTCTAGCTTACTAATCTTTATCTAAAAAGATAGATACTATACTTAATAAAGATAATTTAGAAGATAAAGACTAAAATTCTAATAAGCTTAAAGCTTTAACTATAGCTAAGAGCTATAAATATCTAAATAGAACTTTTAATTTTCTTTAACTAATTCTTAATAGCTACTCTAAGTATACTAAGCTTAATAACTATAAACATATTAAAGTTATCTAAGTATAGTATTAAGAAGTCTATATTAGTTACTACTCTAATAGCTTATTAATTAATAGTACTTATATCTATTAGACTTATATATAAGTAATAGCTACCTATATAGATCTCTTTAAGTAAGCTATAAATACAAAAGCTATAAATAATATTCTTTTTCTTCTATATCTTTTCTAAGATAAGTAGTATAAGCTCTAAACCTATCTAATTATATCTATTCTCTTTATTAAGTAGTATAAGCTTAGTAAATAAAACTCTAACCTTCTTAGCTATTACTTTTATTCTTAGATAGTTTATAATCTATACCTAATTTCTTTCTAAAAAGTAGTTAGTAAAAAGATAGATTAGAGTAAGCTAGTAGAAGACTTTAAGTAGAAGAGTAATATTACTATAAAGAACTTTAAGTAGCTATTCTTTAATAATAAAAAACTTAAGAAGATTATTAAAAAATCTTTTAAGATATACTATTACTACCTCTAACGTATTAATAGTAATAAGAACCTTAGCTAGCTTTATATTATATACTATTCTCTTATTTAATAAGCTATCTATACTAATCTTTATTACTAGATACTTTACTTAGTACTTTATAAAGAATATACTATAGTTTTCTACCTTTACTATACTAAGTACACTATACTAAGTAATAAGACGTTCTTCTACTATATTAATCTTAATCTATTATTTACCTACGCTTAAGATTAAGATATAGATATAATCTAAGAATTAGTCTTAATTAATAATAAAAACTCTTAGAACTATATAGAGGTTTTAGAGAGCTTCTATTAATATATAAAGCTATACTTATAATAGTATAAGACTACTAAGAAGAATTCTACTAGCCTTATTAAAGAATAGTATAATAATATTAATTAGATATAAAAAGTATAAGTAATAGCGCTAGGCGTAAAGTAGAAGAAGTCTATTTATAGAGAAGAAAACATTTATATTATCTACTCTATAACGCTCTATAGCTCTATAGAACTAGTAACTAAGATTTATTAAATAATTCTTTTATAGTATATTATAGTACACTAGAGTGTTATAGAGATTTTAGCTATAGAAATATATAATAAGATCTTAAAGGCTTATTATAATCTTATAGCCTCTTCTATAATACTATCTAGATATTATAATAAGTATAGTAGTATTAAGTAGATATTTCTAGTAAATATATATATTAACTTCTTTTTCTAGATCTAGAAGACTATTCTTACGTAAGTCTTCTAGAATAACTCTCTTATATATAAGAAGATCTATAACCTTCTTAGTAAGAATAAGAATAGTATTCTAGAGTATATCTAGAAAGAGTATAAGTACATTATTAGAGAGATTAAAGTACTATAGCTAGTAGTTAAAAAGTTTAAAAAGGCTACCTTTACTAAAAGTACTAATAGTAAATATTTAGACATTTTCTTCTTTACTAATAAAAGTATATCTTTTTCTTATAAGAGATAGTAGTATATTTAGAATTATAATTATAGTATAAAAGATACTATTAGACGTCTTATTAATAAGATTAATATAGAACTAGATATTTATTACTACTTCTATAACACTACTAACCTTAATACTATACTTACTTTTTTCTTTCTATTTAAGACTTCTTAGGCTTATACTAGTAGTCTAGTGTCTAGTTTATTATTACTTTCTAGTACCTTACGCTCTTTAATAATATTACTACTACTAGTTCTACTACTTTCTTTTTAGTTTAAGATACTAATACTAGCTTTATTAGCTTCTACTACTAGCTTATCTAAACTATATTATAGTAGATAAAATATAAAGTAGACTAAACGTACTAGTAATATTACTAGTACTTAGATTTTAGGTAAGCTTTTTATTTTACCTAAAATCTATCTACTACTTATACTATAGTAGTGTATTACTAATATTTCTACTTAATTATTTATTTTTCTTTTTACTTTCTTTTCTATATTTTTTCTTTATCTTTTTTTTATACTATAAGTAATTAACACGTTCTAGATAGTATAATAGAACTATACTACTAGAAAAAGAAAGTTTATACTAGTATATAAGGTATTCTTATATAAATTAGATCTTTAATAACTTAAGAATTACTTAAAGAAAAAATATCTTTTAATAAAAGCTTTTTAGAATTATTTTATTATCTACTATCTTATCTTTTACTTATACTTTTTAGTATTAGACTCTTATATAATACTTTAGATAATAAAATCTCTCTATAATAGAACTCTTTTCTACTAAACTAACGTTTATATACTTTCTTACTTATGCTAACTACCTTGCGTTCTTGTAGTAATATATCTTTATACTCTCTAATACCTATACACTAGTTTTTGCAGTCTTTAGGTATAGAAGTTAGAATTCTAATATAGTTAGGTTAGGCTAATAGTAGGTTTTAGAAGTGTCTTATACCTCTAATACTGCGCGGTAGACTAGACAACAAACCTCTGTATTCTCTCGCAAAGCTTACGTCTCGAACCCGCGTCTTCGCACTAAACCTAGAGGAATTCTGAACGACCGCGACGAAGCTTGCGCGAACGAGACCTGAATGTTTTTAAGCGACAAGCCCCGCGTCTTGCGCATACACGTCGCGAGCACAAGAAGCGTTAAAAGCGCAATCGCGCCGAAGAGGAAGTACGCGCCGTACGCCGACCTCGCGAGGAAGATCGGTGTCGCGAAAGCAACGAGCCAATTCGCAAGCTGTTTGTGGAAGAGGTCAGCAAAGAACGCGCGACAAGAAAGTCAGTCGGGGCCGTGATGAACCGTGGAGGAAGAGGTAAAGACGCGACTTACAAAGCTACCACCCGTGGCCATTGAATTCGTGGTCGCACGCGTCTTTGTGGGCTGAATCTCAGATGCGTAAATCTTGCCTACGATGGCCCATGTCGAGACGTATCCGATGGCGAAGACGAAGACCGACACGATCACAACCCAGCGCGCTGCGCCATCTGAATGCACGACGTTCGCGGCGTACAGAGATCCGAATTGGAAGCATAGTCCCCGAGAGGATGACGCCGCCGCAGATGGCGGACGTGCGACGACCCCATTTGTCGGCGAAGAGTGTGGCGGGAATGCTGAAGGCGAGCATGAGGATGGCGGAGACACCAGACGAGAGGAAAGAGGCTGTTTGCGTGGGGATTCCGGCTTGAGCGAAGATGGTCGGGGCGTACTGCGAAGAGGTGTCAGCTTGTTAAAGCAGGTGCGGGCCTTCGGATGGGGGGAACATACGTAAAGGACGCCGTCGATGCCGCTCAACTGAACGAACGACAGGATGAACACTGCGAGCCACGTCTGTGATCGGTATTCGCGCTTGAAGATCAAGCGCAGGCCCTGCAGTATGCCGACTTGCTCTTCCGGGCTGGCATTATCCGTGGGGCGCAAGACGTCCTTCTCCGCCTCCACTGCCTCGAAGTCCAGCTTCTTGAGCTCTTGCATCGCTCGAAGTCTTTGCCCATGCAGAATAAGCCACCGCGGACTCTCAGGCAGAAAGAAGGACCCCGCAGCCCAAACCATGGACAGCGCGGCTTGCAGTATGTACGGCAGCCGCCATGACATATTGCCATTGATGTGTATACTTCCATAGCACGAGAAATACCCAACGCAAACCCCCAGCGCAGCGCCGAATTGCGGAAGCGACACAAACTTACCACGATTCCGACTGGGCGCAATCTCACAGATATACACTCCGATATTGGTGAGCGCGAAACCCTGACCGATTCCCACTATTGCGCGGCCGACGAGGAAGAGACTGAGATGGGAGGCAGCGCATTCGAGCACGCAGCCGATAGTAAACAGAATTGCGCCGACGATGATGATGCGGAGGCGACCGAAGCGGTCGGCGAGATATCCGGCGACTGTTGCTGGGATAGCGCCGCAGAGCATGATTAGAGAGACGGTGAAGCCGCGCATGGTAGGCGTGAGGTGACCGAATGTGTGGGTGAAGAATGGCATCTCAGTGACGGCGCCGACGGAGCCTGTGTCGAATCTGGTGGCATGTTGGTGAGTTGGTTCGGGTCTACACTGGGCGAGTCGCGCGATGTTTGTGACGTGAGATGGAGTGCATTCATAACATACCCATTCAGTATACCACCGAGGGCCACGAATGTTGATGCGAGCGCGTAGCCTGGTATCTTGCCGGTAATGGGCTTCATCGTTGTCAACGTTCTAGCAGTCGAGAGAGAGGTTCGTGTTGAAAGTCTTTGCCCTCCAGCGAGAGCCGGTGAGAGCATGAGCATTTGGTACTTCCCCGCATTCGGAGATAACGAGACGTCGACCGCGATTGGTCGACGCGATAGCCATTTGACTGAGCAGTGGTAGAGTGAAGGATGCGCATAAGCAATGAAGTCGCGATGACGTATGTGGCTCGCGCTGAGCATCACAAGCCCTTGCTAATCAGTGTGGCATAAGGAGCGTTGCCCAGCTGTGTCATACGGTGCGCTACCGTCGAAGGGCAACAGCCACAGGACCGTGCAATAGCATGCATATTGCATCGATGCGTGATGTCCGGATAGATTGTAGCAGGTCGCATGCGCATACGATAACTAAGAGGCGCGCAACAGCCTTCATACTTCCTCTCGTTCGTCACGGAAGAGCGTCAGGAAACACTTCGGCACCGCTCCCGCGCTAGGTGAGTTCAACATTTGTATCGATCGCTCGATTGCGAAAACGTCGGTTCGATTTGAGCGTGAATATTCATCTATCTATGAATAGGGCGTCCGCAACCTCTATTGTTGATTTCAAGACCTTGTACAATCCGCATGCTTGCGGCGCAAGTGATCAAGCATCTTGTCATTCCTGGGAAATGGTTTCCCAACGCATTGCATGCTTCTGTCACCTATATTGGCATGCTCGTTAGCCCCGTGTATCTTGTAACCGAGGCGTGCAGGTGTAAGAAGCAGGGAGGTGTGTCGGAGTACACGATTGGGACCCTTCTTACATCCGTCAACGGGACACCAAAAGCGACGGCCCTTCTTTGCGGCTCCGCCATGCACACTGGCATAGTGTCGCTTAAGGTCAGCGAGGCGACCAAAACTGAGGCCTGTGCAAACGCGCGCGTTGCATTGGTACTGGTCACCGCGTGGCTCGCCATTGCTGAAAATGATGCCGATGGCGACACGATCGGTGGTGGGAGGCGGGACGGCAACATCGAGAGATTGAACTGTCGAAGCAAAATATCCGGCTGATTCGACGTGTTCGTGTTGAGCTTGGACGGATGTGTGCTGCGGTAAAGAATCTTCAAGCTGGGCATTGAGTTTGGGAGGACTGTAGCTGGCAAAAGTTAGCGAATTGATCGTACTAACAGGTCAAGCCTTGTAGCCCAGTCCAGTAGGCATGCGACGCGACTGCTCGTCGGCATTCCTTATTCAGAGAACAAGCGACATGTGGGCCGCTGCAACAATGATGCGCATTGCAGACGAAGCAGCCTGTGCAAGCGGTATCTGCCAGAGGCGGAGGTGCCTGAGGAGAGCGAGGTGGGGCCCCCATGCGAGGGGAGGAGACTTGGAAGTCTTACTTCAGTCATGCTACTAGCATCCCTCATCCGTGCAGTTTGACAAAACTGCCCCCTTGTCCATACAGTTTAACAAACTGTCTCTGTATGCATACAGTGTCTCATGAGACTGTCCTATCTCCAAGCAGAGTTCGGACGGACGTTCGCTTTCGCTTGCGGTCGTGGAGGTTCGTTGCGATTACCGAGGTTCGCGAGGGGAGCTCAGTCCTATCCGTGTTAATCACTTGTTGACAATGCGCCAATAGCGAGTTACCTAAGAGGATCATTAGTGAATGAGGAGAGCTAGGATGCCGGAGGGTGGCATACCTTGCTAGATCTCTGGTCCTTCGGCGATACTTGAAGTCCAACTCCGATCACGAGACTTACTGTCCAACGCCTTCACCTGCGATGAAGGAGTTCACTCCACTGGGATCCGACGAATGATTGCAGCCATAAGCAGCGTGCGAAAAGGCCAAATTCTGCTCATCCTGTGCTCCCATTCCGGAGGGACTCTGCGTGCGCACAAGAGGTTGAGCAAACCCGAAAGCTGCATCTATGAAGCCTAAGTGGCGGTCGCACTGCGCGTAAATGGAAGATAAATACCGAAAGTCGCATCGAACACGTCGTCATTGAACCGCGCGGTACCAGCCCAGCGCGGATCCTCGCTGTCGAGAAAGAAAGATAGCTCATCCATGGTGATGGCGGTCGGAGTCTGACGAGTAAATGGCTGTATTCAGGGGGAAGTTGAAGTTGGAGGAAGCAGGAAGCAGGAATGCATTGAGGGGCGAGTACTTATAGGCCATTCTACGGTCATCTGCGGGTTGTAGGGCATAATGGGGCGCTTCTGGGTTGCGCCCTATCATGCACGTCGACTGTGGTGGAACACCGTGGAACACCATCGACGCGACTGAGCTACGCGCAGCTGTCAACAACCACTGCCAACGTCTTCCAGGCCATCAAGTCCACCATACCCTAGTCCCCACATATGCGCACCATAATACCGGTTGTAATTCGCCATCCAGACGTGACGATAGTTTCTCTTTGCCTCGTTAAAGCGCTCAAGAAGTGCATCAGCCTTCTCTTGTTCCTCTGCTGACGTCCGCGGGAAGAACTTGGCTCGCAGTACGTGGAACCAGAAGGTCGTCTCGACCGTGGCCATCAGACCGAGACCAGCGTAGACGGTGTAGCGCACTGCCGGCTTGGCATCGCGGACCAGCTTGAAGAGGTTGAAGGATGGAAGCGAGGGCTCATCGTTGCGTGGACCTGGTCGAGGTGTTGAAGGGATGTGATCTTTGGGTGAAATTGCGGAGACGTGGAGGCGGCGGGTGTCGGTGACTGCGACTGACGGTGAATCATGCAGATGAGAAGAAGTCGGTATCGAAGGAGCGATGCGCATCGTCGTAGTCTTTGAAATTATTCGTTGAGCCATTGGATCCTAGGGGACAAGCTGGAGTATTTCACGTGACGCGGGGTTGCTAAGATGAAGGAGTTGACTCGATATGAAGATTCGCGACCTACCTCAGACTTACTAGTATGCAACCTATATACACACCTTTCTCGCCTCCTCATCTTCGCCTACTCACACCTGAGTGCGTCAAAGTCAGCGCGAAGACATCACGGAGGCAACCGCCAAGGCCATCGTGATTGTTTTGGGCTTAAGATTGCGAGATATTGGCGTTCGCATGTGCAATCTTAGAATTTGCGCAGGGGTATCGAAAACGGTGCGTCCGAGCGCCGTTGACGTCGACGGCCTGGTGAGCGAAATGCGTTGACAATGCCTGGGGAAAGAGTGAAGGATGCGCGCAAAGTATAATATCACATGCGTGTGCGGATCCGAGTGAGGTGTATGTGTGGGCGAAACAGGGAATGGGGTGGTGGAAAAGGCGGTGGCAGGCTTGTGGGCGGGGAGTGTGAGCTGGCAGGGACACCTGGTGAGTGGAGCGTGGTCCGCCTGCCGGCATAGTCAGGAACAACAAATCAGCCCTCGACGCGCCCGACTAGTGACCACCACGACGCTTCACTCCCTCGACGCTTGCTTTTCCTGCCACCGCTCCCTCCCTCCTATGTAGCTCCTACCTGCTCAGCACTAACTCGAGCATGAACGACACCATCCACCACTCTGCGACGCATTTTTAACTCACCACGCTGCTCCCGCCGGCTGTTCACGACTTGTTTACGCGCACGGAGGGGTCGTACACATGGACTCGGCCGGCCTTGGTGCCATGCCAGGGCCTCGCTGCTGTTGTGGGAGCCACGACTGCGCTTTCCTCGCCCACAACGGAAGACTCTTAGAAGGACTAGAGAGGGATGTCTCCAAGGCTGCACAGCTGGGCCAGGTACGTCGCTCACTTCCGCATGTAGGCTCTTACTACCGCGCATGCCGCTAACCTTTGCCCTGCAGGCCCTGCTCGTCCGCCATGAGGCCTACGTCGCCGACTCGGAGCGCGAGCGCAAGGAGATGATCAACACCATCGAAGGGCTCGAGAAGGACAAGATCGAGCTCGAGGCCAAGAATGCGCAGACCATCAAGGCGAACCGCGACCTCCTCGACCAGCTTGAGCAGCTCAACAACGCCGTCGCCGAGTCGGATGCCCACATACGGGCGCTGGAGGACACCCTGCGCTCCACGGAAGACGAGATTGACCGCCTCAGCTCCCTGGCTGCACGCACGCAGCTGCTCGAGCGCCAGCTGATTGACCTCGAACGAGAGCAGTCGCAGATCCAGAGCAGCCTGGACGCCAAGATCGTCGACGAGCGCACAGCCATACAGCGGTGGAAGGTGGCCGAGCGGACTATAGGAGATCTCCAGGACCAGATCGACCGCATCGAGAAGGAGTCTCGCGCCGAGCGTCAGCGACACATGGAGGTCGTGGCCCGCATGGAGCGGAGGATGGTCGTCGAGGGCGAACTCCACACCGCTGCGGGCAGGCTCAAGGCCAAAGCCGGGACTGACAAGGGCGGGCCCAACGTCGTCTCCCACTTTGTTAAGGACATTCTACTCGATAACGCAAACCTGCAACACGGCATACTGGAACTGCGCGAGCTACTGGGCAACTCCAACGAGGAAGTCGAACGCCTGCGAGACCAGCTCAAGGTTCACCAGCCTGTCTCGACATCACCCCGGCCCGATGAGGACGTCACGAGTCCGTCGCTGCAGAAGGAACTGGAAATGGAACAAGAAGCCTCGCTACAGCAGGAACTGCACATACATCACCACTACCACGGTCCGAAGGTTACCAGAAACGTGCCCAAGCCACCGGCGCAGCGACGACCCAAGAAGAAGCGCTTCTCACTCACCCCGACGCACTTCGACCCGCCTGCAACCCTCGATCGCTCGTCCACGGCTACAATACTGGAACACACCGCGGTCACTGTGCCTAACTCGCACAGATGGTCTCAGGCCTCAACCCTCACGCCGGGGTCTTTCGCGGGTTCACCCGTCTCGGACTCACACCGTGGGTCCATGTACGACCGCGTCTTCAGCGAGGCCTATGACTCTTCCCGGCCCACCAGTCCTCCCGATTCTATCGACTTCCAGTCTCCCATGTTCGGGCCCGTCAAATCGAACGACTACAGCTCCGATCCGGATGCGTTGCCGCCGATGCTGCGAAGGTCGTCTGGCACTCTTGAGGTCGCGAAGGGCGGAAACAAGCATCTGCGACGCAAGTCTCGCGGCCTCATGCCACCGAGCCTGTCCACAATGCGCAGCTCAAGCACGCCCATCGCCCTTACTGCTAAGAGCAGTCCTGCGACGGCGGTCATCTCCGCTGTCAGCCCCGCCAACTCGTTCTCGGATGCCAGCTTCACGCTCTCGCCCTACCTCCAGCCGGAGCCTCAGGCTGCTATCCCGGAGGAAAGCGAAGACTCCTCGCTATCGACGGCCGAACCATCGCTGATGACGTCCAACGGCGAATTCGAGCCCGACGACCTCGTCTCGCCCATGACCGCCATGCGCCCCGGATTACGCCGCCACGCCTCCCACGAATCCCTCATCTCAGTATCCGGCATGGATATCCACACACTGCAGTCTCGACCCTCGCAACTCCTATACTCTAATGCAGCGCGATTCGCAACGCCTGGCAGTTCTGGCTCCGTCGGCCCCGAACTCACACCCTGGACCGCTACCGCGCACGGCACACTGTCGAATAAGACATCGCAGAGCAGTATGGCCAACCGCGACTTCCTCTACTCCAGCATCGCGAACCAGAAGCGCGGACCTCGGAAGAGCGACGGTCCCCAGCCCTCAAGCGGCCCCGGTCTCACAAAGAAGGTTGGAGGCTGGGTCTTTGGCAAATGGGGCTCATCGCCTGCTCCTGTCACATCGCCAACAGCTACCCGTGCGCCTTCGATCCTTAGCCAGGAAACGCAGTCCACGCAGGACACGCAGTCGAGCGAAGGCACCACGACGACGAATGCGGACGGCTCGAAGAAGAAGGACAAGCCCAAGCTAAGGCCGAGCGGCGTGAACCAGAATGGACCCATATGGGGCTTCTTTGACGAAGTCCCCGATGCGCCGGCCAAGGTCGTGGTGCAAGACTATGATGCGGATGCGCTTGGTGAGGCCTTGGCTGAGGCTTCATAGACCTGGACATGGACATTACAACAGCGCGTGTGTATAAGAAGGCTCTTTACATATGGAACATCTCTTACCATCTATCTCCTTTAGTTTTTGGATTCCGATAGATTGCATCACTGGCGTTTGGGGTTTCTTTTCTTCCTCCCTTGGACCGTTTTGGATGTCGTTACGTTTGACGAAGCGCATGAAGCGAGGAAGGACTTTTCTTCTTGTTTGGATACTGGATAGATGAGATACGAGCTGAAGATTGATACCCAATTATATTGCCATGGCGACGTGGTAGGCTGGCTACTGGAGTTGAGTTTTCCCAATCTGTGTTTTTGACTGATGTGCTAGACGGCTTGGGCTGCTTACGTGCTTTTTTGGCTTTCGCAATATGAAGGGAAGATTCTCATTACGATTGCTGACGCTTGAAGTATCATTACCGCATACGGGAACACGTAACCTCTTGATACGTATCTCACCCCGATATTCAGTGTGTGGCCTGCTTTTTCTCTCTAGATCCGCAGTCAGGCGAGGTTGTTGCCGTGCCTGCTATCGAGCGCGTGGCAGGCCGAATCGTATTCAGGAAACACGTATTGAATGCGGAAGGTTACCGGAGCTCCCCTCGGACCTGTGCATGCAAACCATATTTTGGTTCCCTTGACGATGGTTCCAACAATGGCGCACGCCTCTTACAGCCAGAACTATGTTTACAGGGACTCGGATGCAGGCCTCGACTATACGCAAACTTGGACTCACAACTAGAGTCCTAAAATGTCCAGACTACTCTTAATGCCGCTGACTGCCGGCTAGCATTTTTCAGCGTGATAAGTGCAATTTGTTGTTGACGAGACATATTCGCTCTTCCGAATCATCGCTGCTATCCCCGTTCCACTAGGCGAAGCCGATCAATACCACATGTCACCCGATAGGATTGCAGAGGAAATTTCTCACATTATGCGGAGCGGATCGTTGGAGACGCGTGAACAGACGAAACAAGGATTTATCAGCTCAGCGATGAACGATGGACAGCCATGCCTTCAGGTTTGGCATCGATCGCGATATCGCCTACAGTAATTTTCCTCTTATCGACTTTTTTGGCACCGGGCCTCTTCCTCTCCGGTTATTGTCATTGCTCCTCGCCGATCATTATCATCCTTCGTCGTCGGGCGTTGTGATCCTTCCTCGCCAGTAAGCAAGGGGTGACCTTCTTCGGCTGTTAAGCAAGGGTGAGATTACGTCAGCTCGACTTCCGCTCTTACGCGCATCCTTCACATCCCTCACACTAACACTGCTCAGGTAACTTGCTATCGCGGTAATTCGCGTCAACCAATCGCGATCTCGTCATCCAATCGCGATCTGCTTCTCGATGCAGTCGTTCCCAAAGCTGACATCGGCACTTACCCGCCCGCGCCGCTGGAAGTCTCGAACAGTGAGATGATGCGGCGGTCTATGAGTTTCGTACGGCTGTTCTTAATTCGCATGGAGGCGTGGTCATCCCCAAAGCTGAGGTCGGTACCTACCCGCCCGCGCCGCTGGCTATCCGCTCAACTCGTGTCAATCGTTCGCGCTTCGGTTCTCAATTCAGTCATCCCTTAAGTTGAAATCGGTACTTGCCCGCCCGCGCCACTGGCTGCTCCCGCGGAATCTTGCTTCCGCAAGATCGATTTCAGGGGACTGTACTCACCGCATCGCATCAGGGAGCGCAGTGATATGATGCCGCACACTATTCGCCCAATGCGCGTCAAACAATCGCGCTCTGCTTCCACGAAAAGAAAGATGCTTATCGTACCGCGTTGGGGAGCGAAGCAAGCTGATGCGGCGGTCAGTGAGTCTCGCATGGCAATTACTACCTTGCATGAAAGCGCGCTCTGCCACGGCGGCCAAGGACTCGATTGTAGGATGCAATCCTTCGCGCAAGGTATCTTGCACGACCTCTCAGCCTTCCAAAGCGAGCACATGTTTGACCGCCTCGGGGGGTGGAGGGAAGGAGGTGGAGGCCTTGCAAACTAGACTGTGCTGGGGATTGATGGGACCCAGCTTCGAGGACGGTCATTCCTGAAGGATCAATGGATTCGATGCTGGAGAAAATCGAGGATATTTATATTCGTGAGTTGAACAGAGCTAGAGTCGCCAACTCTGTAGTCCAAGCACGCTTCGTGGACCTCGCCAGCACACAGAAACGATGACTTTTCCGATTGCCAACCTGGAAACATCAAGCGACGGCGCATGTACGATCCGTTTCTACGAAGCTGGAGCCAATATGCGATGCTTTCCGACGAAGATCTGCGGATACTTCCCTACTCAGGTCGAGGGCGTCCAGGGGCATCTCCGGTATAGGAGAGCAGTAAGAAGAGGGTATGAAACGGCCGAGAGATTTGAACAACTCGTCGGCTCCATAGGCAACAATAGAATCAAGATTACCGTTTCGCCCAATGGTATCGTCGGGGGTTATCCTCAGGCCCATCACGAATGGGCCACAAACAAGATCGCCTTCTTCGTCGAGACCAGATTCGACTTCCCGATTTCGATAACACCGACGAGCATTGTGTCATCTACGCAATGGCTGCAATTCGCTGGACCATCACCGAAGGCTGCGCTTCAAAGTCTTTCAACTTCTGGCTCGCGCAGTGTCACTATTCTATCGGGAATCTGTTTGTTCTCGGGCAAGGCCATGAACACGACTACTACAGACGTGCCGATTATCAACCTCGAAAGTGGGCAATGCAACGGAGCTACACTCTACGAGCTGGAGTACATTGCCCGTAGTGCTCCGGCCATTGCAGATCTTGCCATTGCCTCCAGATCCGCGGCGCAGCGGACTGACCATAATGACGGCGACAAAGTCGGCCAGCCGCCTCAGATCTGCTTGGACATTCCTAGTTTCCATTACTACCAGACCATCGACGATCTATTGCGGTCTGATCGTTGTGAATTCACTGAAGCTCTGCGTTGGCTCGGTGCTATAGACGAGCACCATCAGCAGATCTCGCATATCTTCCGTGGTTACCTCCACGTCGAGCTGCTCCGCCGAGACCCGTCTCTCAGATCATGCGCCATCAGCGTCACCCCGGGTGGCGAGCGAATACTCTCGACCATCCGCAAGTCGCTCATGAGGCGTACGCTTCCATCAATCCAATTAGCTATCGACGATCTCGGTGTGCACGAGCCAGCCTGGTCAAGGTTCATGCAGTTTGTACCCGACGCGGAAAAGCCAAAGGATTTTAGATCACTGGGTCAGATGTTTTATGTGTACCAGGTGGTACGGCACGCCTTGAGTGAGGAGTCAACACAAACGGACTTGTTGATCAGCGTTGAAGACAGCGCCGAAAGCGGAGTGTATTCTCGAGCCCAAAAGCTTCTCAAGCAAATACGGGAATCTACGTGCTCAAAGTCGCCGGTACTACTGGAGACTTACCTCTGTCCGCGTGTCTTCGTCGACAACAATGCAAACGGGGCTGAGCTGTATGCCCACGACCCGTATCCGGGGTCTGTCTACGAGGAATGCAACGCAAGGAGTGATACACCGATTCTGAACTGTTCAAGAAGGCCCATCAAGCCGCACTGTTCCAGCAGTCAAAGCGATGTTGCCCTGGAGACTGATCGGGCGCTGTTGAAGCTGGACACCTTGGATGTAATTGCGAAGTTGTATGGCGAGAGATCGGCCACGCCGCTGCGGGAACTATGTGCAGATGTAGGCCTCTTCGATGTGCCAATGCCGCCTTAGATAGGTCAGAGAATAACGACTTCGATGTGTTCAAATTTCCTGCGAAAGCTAGGGAGAAACACAAGTTACACGATCTAACTTGCTGCTGCTTTCTGTTGTTGTTGTATTGCACGCTACTCGGCAGCTCGAAATGCTTTGAACGGCGGTAATTGGTTGGAGCTCGCGCTGACATGCAGCACCAAATGTGGTTTTTCTACATGCTGCAGCGGCTCTCGACGGACCGTCCCGAGCATCGCGCCACGACGTTGTTCTAACTCCATCCATTTGTTTTTACAACGCTATATTCCACGTAGATAATCACAGGTGCTGGGCTCTCGCGGGTTAGTAAGTTGACAACAGTGGCTGACTACGGCCGTTCGTCGGAATTTCGCAATCATCTCTATACTCAACCACGGCAGCTAAGAATAACTATGCAATGGATGCGCGATGAGTCGTTGCGATGAGTCTTGCGGTGAGAACTCTGAATAATCACATTGCGAGTGTTACACTTGCTGATGCGTGGCTTTGTGGCTATTCTTACCCTTCTACGGCAGGGTACTGTAGGGCACAGCTGGGCAATGTCGCCACACGTCAGCCGCATCGAACATACAAAACTTCGGCGTGCGTCACTCCAACTGCAAAACTTCACTTATCGGCATCACTTCTCAAGACCTGCTACTCTCATTTGCTCAAATATATCTTGCCTGAACCGAGCGCTTCACATCATCTTGATCATGTTCGACTACATCGACGATCTGGGTTTGTCCTCTCTCTTTATTGACGACGTCGACCATGCCTTCGTTCCGCAGGATGATCTCGCTGCATTTGAGTCTCGAGACGCGTACTACGTTCTGCCCTCTGGTAAGTCCAACATCGTGTCATACGCATTATAGTCTGACGCCCGGATATTTAGGCCCTGGTTCATCATCAAGTGGTATCCCGCGCGAGCTCTTCGACAATCCATTGGCCGCGCTTATGCCCGTTGCGCAACCACCGCATGGCCCCGACGCGATGATGCACGAACATCTCATCAACGGTATTACACCTTGGTTCTTCGCTACACCAGGCAATCAGGGTCCGCCTCCTGCATCCACGCCCTGCGATACCTTCTTCGCGTAAGTGTTCGATCTTGCGACGAGTTTATATGTACAGTGTGAGCCTCGACACCTTTTTGCCGCGAGATATGCGCGGTATTATAATACTTTCCAAAGCAGGTAACGTTATCCCCATCGTGATATGATTTTGTTGCACACATGCTGACTTCGCCTAGACAACAGTAGTGAATAGCGCACAAACGACATGATAGTAGATTTAGGCGGGATTAAGTAGCTAGCATGTTTATCGCACAGATACAAGTAGCCTCTTATCTTACCTAGACAATCTAATTCTGTTAACATCTGCGTTCGACCGCACAAGTCGGTTGAATGATAACCGCCCAAGCCGGATGAACTCAGCTGCAGGCTTTCAGGCTAGGGTTGCGACTGCAACCTCCGACTTCCAATCACTACTAAACGATGCCTTCTCGGGTCTATGCCGCTCAAGCCCCTTTAAAGATTATTATACACGACCTTTGAAACATCCTCGTACAACTGTAATATAGCCAGAGTGCATAGTAAAGGCTTTGCAATGCTGTCTACTCATGCCGTGGCCTTTCATCGCAAAGACGACTTTGCAGAGACTAACTTACTCACAGGCCAAACTTCGTTGCTGCCAATGAAGGCATCACCTTTGGCGCCTTCGATTCAATCTACTCCAATCCAATCCACTCCGAACCCTGCCAATTTGGTCTCGACCAGCCCCGCTACTTCGTCATCGACACTCACGCGCCACGCCTCCCTCCCGCTGCCGCGACAGCCAGAACTCAGCACCACAAAAACGTCACTCCTCCCGTGAAGGGCATGCGACGGTCTCGCAAACACGTCTGCAACATCGCTCCGTGCAACGGCGCAACCTTCGGTCGCGGTCCCGAATTGCGCAGACACCACGCCTCCAAGCACGACGTGGCGCGTTTTTGGTGTCCGATCGATGGATGCCATAGGAGCAAGATGGAAGGAGGTCGGGCTTTCGCACGCAAGGATAAGATGGTTGATCATCTGATGAAGGTGCATGGTGATAGGGTTGGTTCTACGGCATGATGAAGATGTTGATGTGTTCGTTGTGCTTGGTAGCTTTGGTATGCTCGAAAGATGCCTCTCTTCCAGTTTTCCGCAACGTTGACGACCTAGACGAAAAGATACTTTCACAGACGATAGAAGTCGCAAGAATGATAAATTGATTTTGGCGCACTTAGCTTGATGCATACTACATAGTGCGCCGTGCATAACAAGCCGCGCTCTAGCGGTAACTCGTCGATTCTTCGCATTTGCTGCACCCGGTTCACGTGCAAAGTTGCAAGGCTTATCAGATTTGGTCGACATTGTTTTGCATAGCTGTCTCTCGGTCGCGTTTTAGCTAGTACTTTAGTACTAGATTTATTAATTAAACTTATTCTAATTTTATTAAATTTAATATTTATACTTATTCTAGTAATTCTTCTATACGCTATACGCTGTAAGGCATTCTTAGACGCTAAGGTACCTTAATACTAAGCTAACTTATATAATATTTTTAGTATTTAATAATAACTTTATAAACGCTGTTTTATTCTTATTTATAATAATATTAAAGTTAATTTTTAATATTAGCTCTTCTACGCCTTATATCTAGCGTTCTAAGTAGTATATTACTATTATAGAGTTAAGTTTATTAACTTTTATAGTATTTAGAAGAATCTACTATTTTACTTTTATAACTAGATAGACTTTTTATTTTATTAGTACTCTTATAGCTTTACTATTAATATTTTAAACTTTTTACTTATAGCTAAGACTTATAAGTATTAAAGTAGCTATTTAAATATTAGGCTTAAGCTTAAAGAAGCTACGTAGAGTCTAGATTATCTTAATAATTTATAGTATAAAGGTATTAATACTAGTTTATTATAGTATTATAAGTATAAAGTTTTTAAGCTTTATAAAAGTAAGTAGAGCTACTAAAGTATAGTAGTTAAATATAAAAGATATTTTTAAAGCTTTTAAGTTAGTAAGAGTAATAGTAATAGTAATAACTAATAGTAGTACTTACTTAGTATTTTAGATAATATAGTATAAGAAAAAAAGAAAAAAAAAATTAGAGCTAGATTTTATGCGCCTAAAGCCTTTACTATTTACTACTATAACTATACTTTATAACTTTAGTTATTTCTTTATACTTAAAAGAGCTTATAGAGTTTTATAGTACTATTATAGAGATACCTTCTAATAATTTAAGAAATTTTTTATTTATAGCTTATTTCTAAGCTTAGTACTAGAAACTTTTACTTTTAGCTAATTATTACTATAAGTAGGTAGAGAGCTTATTTTCTTGTAAATTTACTTGTTTAGAAGTACTCTATATGCTTTAATAGTCTAGTGTAAACTTAACAATTATAGCTGTCTCTTAGGAGGCAATCTTAAGCAAGAGCAATGTTTGAGCAGATAAATATATACCCCGCGCGTGAGCTAGCAGTGCTTGATGCGACGTGACGTAGGCGACTTAGCGATGCCAAGTTGTCCAACATGGCGCCATATACGATGGACTCCTGAACAGGCCTGCAGCCTACATCGAGTTGAACACATACAAAGTGAAAGACCTAACGACAATGTATGCTCTCGGGTGTTTGGACCTTCATAGGTTGGTGTGGGGTGCTTGTTCTCTACATGACCGTAACCGTGTGATTACCCTGATCATCTTCCTCTTGAAAGAAATGGCGGGCAACTGGCCTCCGATACGCGTCGAACTGGGCTTTGACCATATCGGTGTTTATGTCTTCGTGGCCCCCAAAGTACTTAGTGGCCGCGACAACGCCCGCTCTTCTATATACTCCCTCTTCGGCTCCGGGTGGCGCACACAGGAGGAGACACCACACATTAGCGACGTTGTCATTGTGCTTAGCCCAATACCAAACGCAACACGTTATCGGCACGATAACGGTGCTTTGCAGAAGAGATTGGTCATCTCTGGTAGGAGTGGTAAGGCGTTCGTCCCGAGCGGTTGTCGACGCGATCCTGCTTGGGTACTCTCTAAATGTCATGGCGAACCAATGGTCTAGGTAGAAATCGAACTCGAAGCCGCTCTTGTTCAGCCCCACGAAAAGCGTAGCCAGACTGTTTTCGTCGCCTGGCGATGGAAAGGACCCATACGCGCTTAGGCAAATTATGAATGTCTCGCGAAGCCGCAGTCGTGAACTCCCTAGACATGGGATGATGTCGATGTTAGTGAGGTGAGTGAGTCTGTGACCCAAAAGTCCCCAAGCATTCCAGACTACGGGTTTATCCAGAGCTGCCCAGGACCAACTTGGTGTGTCATGCCATGCCGGCAAATATCGAGCGTCTTGTGGACTGTAAAGGAAGTCATATGGCTGTTGAAACAGTATGCCACGATGCATGTCGCTTGCCCAGAGTCCGTACATGCTATTGTCTTCAAGATGCTTCTCAAATTCTGCGGCGATACCGGCTAAAGCAGGAATCCGGTCCGTAGCAAACGTAAGGCGTCGATCGGAATACACTGAGACAATCTCAAACCAGTTGTTGTAGATGGACTTCTGCCACCATTTAGTTTCTTTGGGGTGCTATTCATACTTCGGTAAGGTGATTCGAACTCACTTTATCTTTTGACATGTTATTAAGGTCGAAGTTCCAGCTAGTAACGGGTTGTTCTCGAAAGCGACTTTCGAAGTGAGTATTCCGCCAACCACAGGGCCAAACCTCATTTGCGACCATCGATTTGCATTCCCAGTGCACTTGGCTATCATCAAAGTGCACCGTTCGTTTTGCCTGTCGACGACATTGAGAAACTTCCTTCCGTGGTTCGTGAGGCTACTTACAAGTAGTTGCTCTTGCAGCGTCCACGCACGATTGAACACAGGACCCTCTCTCATTACCTCCCATGGGAATGCACATGATAAATAATGAGATTTTTCAGACGAGCTCTGATTAGCCGCGCGACCGAGAGTGACAGCCACTGGGGACGGATTGATACGACGATTACTCAGTATGAAGCCTTCTTTGCCATTAGCAAAGCCAGAAGCGGAAATGTTGCAGGCAGCATGCTTGTATATTTTATGCATTGAAAGCGATTCCCTTTTCCAGTCGTCGGGGTCATCCTGCACAATGCAGAGGGAGTCGATCCAAATGTATTGGAAATTCAGCTTCACAGTAGCGAGAAAGGCGTCCTGGAAGGTCCTAGACAAGCTATCGATCGGAAGCGAGCACTCGTACGCGCAGAGGTTCGCATGCGTAGTTGTTAAAAACTCTTCTCCGCCCCAGCAATGAGAAAGGGTGAGGTATGGCGTGCACCGGGGCAGTGAAGCGCCGCGACATATCTTTGCCCTTAGCTTGGAGCTACCAGTTGACTGCACACATATAAGTCGTGTCGGCAACTCGGCAGGAGCTGCTAACGATTGGCATTCGACATGTTGCGAACAGCATTGGTTGATCCATCCTCTGACTAAGGAGAACGTTTCCTCTGACCTAATTGATGATTTCAGCTTCGTATTGAGGATTCCTGAATAGCGATCTGTCGTTGATTAGCTTTCGATGATAGATATTCGTAAAGAACACGAGTTCGATACCGGCAATAGCTGAGCTGAAGAGTGAAAATTCGCGCGAACTGTAGCACGCCCTGTGATTTGCGTCGCCGATGATAGAGAGCCTTAACTCCCCTCTCTCGACCGGTTCAGTGGTCGACCAGGTGTACGTTGTAGAGCGAAGTGGCCCGGTTGCATAGTGCTCCTTTGACTTCCTCTTTTCATGCGCTCTCCACATCCAACTACAGATGTAACAGCCTTCTGATACTCCTCTGTGGAACTCTTCCTTGTCAGCATGACTATCGTAACCCCATCCGCGCTGTTCATGTGGCCCCGCTGAAACGATCGCGAGGCACTTAGCACAGAAGTTGCTTCCAGCCATAACCGTTATTTAGAGAGATCATATGCGACCGAGCTCATGACCGAGCTGGTTGCAACGTGAGCAACACAAGGTGGATGTTTGATAGCGATCGCGTCTGAAGAGTGGGCCGAGCCTGAACGACATGAAGACCAGCGCAACGACCCGCCTGAAGGTACACGGGATATGGCGCAGGACCTAGGTCGCGCCCGGTTCTGATGTATTGGGTTGTCGTGGGTGTGAGTTGGTTCGGACAGGAAGGTGGGGCGAAGTCAGCCGCGCTGATTGCGATAAGCAACGCCAACCTACTACGACGCACACTTCATGCAAGACAAAAGCTAAACAGGTCTGCAGACTACATCACAGTAAAGTGATGCAAAGTGAGTAACATAAAGTCAATGTAGGCTCTTGGGTGTTCAGCTATGTCTTTGGTCCAGGCAGTGGACTCTGAGAGATGACGGGCAAAAGCGGGCAAAGCTGATGACGTATGCTCAACGGGGCCATCGCGACCACCACGGCCACCGATGCGGCACGTCTCCTGCTGCAGTAACTGCGTGCAATTTGCCAGAATTCGCTTAAAATCTCAACGGCACACTCCTTAGGAGGTGCAGGAGAATGGTTCAGTGCTGTGCGCAGTTAGTCATGAACTTCGAACGCGCCTTCCGCGACCGACGCACACGCGCAGCACATGGTTTTGGTAGGCGCAGCGATTCCTGCTACATATCTGTGAAGGTCATATATCGCGACGTCCAAGATGAGAGATGTGCACAGAAGCTAGACAAGTGTTCGGTCCATTGAGAAGGGACTATATTGTGAATCTGTGGGAACAGGGCCTCATCGCGCTCTGGTCGCCCATGCGAGCGATTGTGATCATGGAACCCTCAGATCTTACTCACGATCGCTAATAGTGGCAGCTAAGCTACCCAATAGTCAGTAAGAATCGAGATCAACGAATTTCTTGATCCACACGTTCCCACAGTCAGGATAAACGTAGCAACTGCGAACGCTGTCGGCGCATCGCCACCTTCTGGTACCCGAGTAAGATCAATCACAGTCGCTGTCACCCAAGGTCTGAACTCAAGGTTGCCGACACAAAACTCGCCCTGATAAAAGGTCCAAGGCTGCTGGAACAGGACTCCTGCAATTTATCTCGACAAAGAAGAGTATAGTATGCTAGACTAAGTCGGCGGCCGTGGTATTCACAGATAACTCATCCGCATCGATATCTTCAGTCTGGGCGTCAATCCTCTCCTTGTTCATCTTTCCGGGTTCGATACCGTGCATATCGTCTGCAACGTATTCCACATCTATTCGCAAGCGCACATCGACTTGGTCAAGGATGTGGCCAGTTAATGTGGTGCATAAACGGCGAAGAGTAACCTTGATACAAGCCTGTGCTGATTCCAGGGGGATGATTATGCGATCTGCAAGGCTGCTCCCTTCTGATTCCAATCGCGACGTTGAGCCATCATCGCCTTGCACTTCCACGCCTAGCAGTCGAATATTCTTTATGGAATCGCCCAGTATAATTACGGGAGAGACTCTTGAAGAGCTACTGGACGTCCTTATCATCAAACCAAAGCCGTGGGACGCGGTGCTGGCCATTGTAAAGATGCTTTCAGGTTTCCACTCGTTCGGGACATGAACGTAATTGCTATCCCAAGATGATACCATGAATGAAGAACTGTGGAACTCGAAACAGGCAAGCGCCCGGTCGGGACCCATGTGCTCGACTGGAGAGAGGAAAACGTCGGATACTATGAGAGCTTTGGGATCAAAGGCATCACTATTGAGGCTCCTCATATCTACCATAATAGGGGCTGTGTTGAGGCGAGCGTAATTGGATGTCGGAAGCAGCTCGAGAACGATCCCAAAGAGGTGGAATTTGTATCCTGTCAGGGTCAAAGGCAAAAGTGCGACCAATCCGTCCTTTTTTCCACTTGGCTTCCTTGAATAGCGGTTGGTGGTCAATGGAAGATACTGGAGGCCCGGTTTGTATCCAGTCTGAGGCACCTTCAACTGCACACCGCTTTTGACCAACTTCAGGGAGGGGTCGTTGAGTGCGTTCCACTGTGCGTCAACGACGCTGCCCATCCGAGAATATTCGATGTAATCAGGAAGGCACGTTGGCTGTTTCGCACACTCCTTACATGGAGTTCTCCTACAGAACTGCCTGGCTGAGTACGCGAGCAATGGTGCATGCTCTGGCACACCAGGGCCTTCCGCATCAGTTTTATCGTGAGTAGCGAAGAGGAACAGCGTATAGTCAGGTTCGCTCTCAAAGACTACTTGCTGTAACCTGCGAAATGCCCGACGTCCCCCTTCGCCGTAAAGTAATGGCATGTTCACATCGAAGAGACCGAGCAGACAATAAGCCATATCTTCGGACTTAGTGACCCGTCGATGCGCAGCCCATGACATTTTCTCTGCAGCGAGATATCTGTCTTTCTGAACTGCCCAGACATTCTGAAGAGCAGCAAGGGCGATCCCAGTGATAGTTGCGATTTCTTCGGCTCGCGATGCCTTGGAGCCGATGAACGTCCAGTCGGCTGCGTAGAATTCGACGCTACACGGTGCCAGTAGTTCCTGTAAGGTCCAACCGCGGGTAAACCACAAGCTCTCTTTGAATGCTACATCCAATCCAGCCTGTCCGTTGGAAACGTCACTCAGATAAGCGTAACAAAACTGAGCCTCTTGATACCACCGAAACATTGAGTTGATCGCCTCTTGAAGCTCCGCAGAGCTGGATTTGTCGATGCAGCAATTGTCTATCCAAATCCAATCGAATCCGTCCCTAAGCGCGAGTGCGCAGGTCCCCTGCAGTTTAGGAAACCCACGTTTGGCTCGGGCTGGGTTGCTGGTGTCGCTGATAGGGACCTTCATCACATCCTCGAAGAGAATTTCCTCGTCTTCCCACCGGTGTGAGAGGATAACGTACTCAGGTGTTTCACCAATGAACGTCGTGAGCGTCAGGGTATACGTGTTGAGGAGCCTCATGTTTGCGCACTCGTCGTACTGTGCCCAGATGGTCAGGCACGACTACGATTTTTTTGCGTGATGCAAGGCGGAAAGACTCTCCAAGTATAAGCGGCAAGAGAGTAGTGGGAGACATGTGGGATCACGGCGGTCGCCTCAAACGTGCCAGAGTCGACATCATGCTCCAGGTCGTGCCACATGCATGCATGCGGGGTAAGATAAGGTGAAGCCTGCGCTCCGACTCGTGACTGTGCAAATCATCGATGCATACGTAGGTCTATGCCTACGGTGCTCTCAAGCTGCGGTGATGGAGTGGGGATGATAATGTGACAAAATGTGTAGACTTCTCGCCGTGGCAACTCGCAGTGAACGCGTTCGGGGAACAGCGCGCAAGATTGACGCGCTAATCTCTCACGTGACCTGCCTCAGCCTCTCCAATTTCACACTAGTCTAGTCCTAGGTGCTGCCTCGACTGCGTAATTAACTGCGACAAGCCACAGCGTCGCTGCAGAAATATTGTCATGACTTTAGCAATGCGTATCAAGAAGAGACTTCGATGACGCCTGGAGATGCGCAGCGGCGAGCGACGCGAACTACCCAGGCTGCCTCAGGGTTTCCCCGCCTCCCATTACTCACCGGCCGCGTTTCACAGCCTCAATGTGCCTGCGATACAGACACAAGACTTGAGCATGCGTCCACAAGCGGAACTTTGTGAATGCACGGATGACGTGGCGCAATTCTGGCCCCCAATTGATGCAGACAAAGCTCCGCCTCGATGCAGAGCCGCGGCCCCTTCGGAAAATCGAAGGCTCGCTTCCTTCATCCCGTCTTATTCACGACGACGCGTTCCGAACCCTTAGCATCTACGCGTTTCTCGCCAGCTGCTCAAGAGCCAATATATTTCCAGGGCCCTGATGTCGGGCACGCTACGCGCATCTGCATTAATGGCCAACAACGGCGTCAACGCAGTCGAGATGGCGACTATCGCCGGGGCTCCAAAAGCTACCAAAACATCCGTTGCTGCAACTTCGAGGACGGTCACCCCAAGCCCAAACATGCTGAAAAGCGAAGAGCCACCGATTGGATCGTGGCTCTGTGCTAATGGTAGATGATGTTTTGTCCAAGTGCCATTTGCAGGTGTCGTTAATCTCGAGCAGGCAAATATCGCGACTATATCGAGGCCTTGAGCGGGTCCAATCCTGGCCTGAAGAAGGCCGATCCAAACAACAAGGATGAGCCACTGAAATATGGCAACGCGCTCGTCGCGCTTTTAGACGCTCCTCCTACTGGGGCATCTGGTTTCACAACCACTGAATTCAGAGGCGAGAAAGAGCTTGTTAAGCACTTTGAATCCGCGGGGCACAACCACAACCGTCGGCGCATTTATATCATGGAGGGTCTGGCACCTGATTTTGTCGCAGCCGTCGGCGGTCACTTTTTCATGGATCCTTCGTTCTTCCAGCGGCAAGAGAGGACATGTGTCTGGAGTAACGACTTTACACCAGTGAGCGATGCGTTGCCCCAACCTAGCTTACTCGACCCACGGCAAGCTTTCCAGCTCCAGTATTGCGAGTTGCGACAGTTCAACAAGGCGCTCGAGAACCGCTATTTCTTCTGCGAGCGAACGCGACGGCATGTGGGCATGACAGCATCCCGTCAGAAGGAGAATAGTACGATCGGGATACTACGGCGCAAAGTCGGCTGGTGGTCTCGCAAGACCGAGAACGGCGGCTGGGATGGTACGTGAATTTCACACTCTCGATTCTAGGATCGTTCTCTGAGACCACATTGCCGCCTTAGAAGTCCGATACTGGTCCCGGAGATGAAAGTAGTAAGGGAAGGTCTGAATGACGTTAGCTGATATATGTAGTGGTCATATTGTGTGATCCCCAGCTGCTTCATCTAAGCCCTCCGCCCAAAGAAGTCGATCCCGACGACAACACACTTCGTCCAATCGCCAATGTACGCGACGAACTTCAGAACACACCCTTTCAGGAAGGCTATGTTGACTTCATTCCGCCCGTCCCTCATCATCAAATACATAGCAAGACGCAACATCCGCATACGTCAATGCTGCGCGACCTCCTTCACTACTACCAGCAACACTCTGATCTGTTCTCCGAAGACGAGTGGGCTACGCCCAATACATCAGCAATCTTCCTCAAGAAGATAGTCGCTGCGCACTACCTCCAGCTTGTCGATTACATCAAAGCAATGCTGCCTTCATTGGAGCTTCGTCTTACTACCGCATGGGTTGAAGAGCAGGGTCAATGGAAGAGCTTGCAGACTATTTCACGTCGGTGCGGCAACTATCGCGACGATCTTGAAGATGCATTACTCAGTCTCGACTATTCGCTAGATGGGCAGATCAACAAGTCCGTCAGGTTGCATGCGCACACGTGGAAAGACTGCGAGAAAGACTTCCAATACGTCTACTTCCGTCTCAAGATCCTTAAAGAAAGGGCCGATAATCTGATCCAAGCCATGACTGGACTGGCATCGATCGCGGGTAATCGCCAGAACTTGGAGGAGGCCAAGCGCGTGAAACGACTCAACCTTCTCGCCCTGCTGTTCATTCCCTTGGCATATACGAGCAGTTTGTTCAGTATGCAAGACAACTATGCACCGGTAAGATCACCATGAACATATTGTTGGTGAACAATTACTAACTTCTCATGCGCGTTCTCAGAACCGAAGTGAATTCTGGGTCTATTGGGTCAGCGCTATCGGGGTTGTCGCATTCACCGCCGTCATTACGTGGATCCTGGACAATGCTTTGAACGACGAAGCGCAGTGGACCTGGAAACCGATTACATTCCTCAAATTCTGGGGCGTCAATGAGCAACAACCCCAACCCGGAAAAGTGAAGAGAAAGATGACTAATCTCTACCGGCTATGATCATATTCACAGGGCTGTCTGCACTACCTGGCGCGGCTTCAATACTTTCACCTCTGCAGATTGATTGTTTTGTCTCGCAAAAACCGAGCTACTTCCATGGGAAGGTTTCCATTGTCAAAGCACTTGGTGGGTGCTAGGCGCACTTTCGCGCTATTTCCCTTTCGTTCTCAGATCAGATGCATACGTTTGTTCTAGCATTCCTAGCCTTTCATCCTTCTTTCTTATTTTAATCTTACACCATATTGATACCTGACTAACAACGTCGTCATGAATAAAGTCTCAAGACTACCTGCTCGCCTCTGCTGCATGTGCCACCGTAAAGCTACATGCATGTGCACGACATGCAAATGCAGCTACTATTGCTCGGCAGAGTGTCTGCAGGACGACAAGTCCGTTCATAGGCTGCTCTGCAAGGCGTATCTAGAATACAAGACACACATCCCTCCTGAACCTGGACTGTTCAAGGCCATCTTCTTCAACGCCAGAAAGGCCGCGCCCGAATGGGTATGGGTGAGGATGACGTCTCAGCCCGGCGATGAGGGCTTTGCTCTTCAATACTATCTAATGCCAGATGATCAGAGAAAGGGACTTGTCAGCTGCGGGAACTCATCCTACAACTGCGTTTTGAAACGCTCGCACGATACTATCCACATGCTTGGCTGCCTTGAAGCCTGCCCCGCTTTACCGGATCAACTATGTCTGACTGGCTTCTCAAACCAGAGCATGAAGAATATTGCGCCCGAGCTACTGCAATGCTGCAAAGGCAACATACTCTTCATCGGCCACCGCGCACATCTCGACATGACCAGTTTCCGGCATATCGTCGACATGATGCACATGGAGTACGATAAATCACGCCGCCAAATTGGACACAAAACAAAGGGCTACATCCCTGGTGTCCGCATCAACTGCATCGGTGATCGGCTGGTCAGTGATCGCCCATCACTCGAGGCTTACAAAGTCACCGACAGCTTCTACGAAAAAGACGAGAACCTCCTCATGTGGATCGCGTCCAAACTCGGTATCGATCTTTTTGCTCGCACTATACCACCAGCACTGGCCTGGAGAAACCGTAGCGGTGGCTACAAAGGCTTGAACCATGCTTGGAACTTCGGCTTCGCACAACTCAACCCTTCTGAGTGGTCAGCCAGCCTGGGCAGTGTGTATGTCGCGAGGAAAGACAAGAAGCCATTGTTTGTCGCTCACATCGCAGCTCTGATGGCATATCTATACTCCATCGGTAGTGAGCAAGTTCGGGAAATACTGGATAGCAAGGAGCCGTGGAACCTAGCCTCCAAGTTCGACGAGGCTTTCGAGATGCACAATAACGTGTTACTTGAAAAGGCTTCTAGAGCGGATTTCGAGCGGTTTTGGATGAATTGGATGGAAGAGGAAGGGCGATGGAAGTATGGGGATGTCTCTTCACCGTATGCGGTCTAGTGCGCGAATGCATTCATAGTGTCATGAAGCTTCCAGATCGCGTCTAGAAGCAGAACTAGTGCATCTGAGAAGTAAGATGTTTGTCGTTGCAGGATGCGAAAGAATCCGGCGTCCAGGTCCGTCGGCCTGGTGCGAATGGTGTTCCGGTAAATGTGGCTGTACTAGAACTTCGCCCATAGTGTTCTGCCGCTCTACTTAATTAGCCAATATGCGTAGGGCTCACTAGCACGCATCTGCCATGATGCATATAAAATATACTGATGTGCATCGTGAGCATTGGCAGTGTCTTGAGAATCTCAGTCCAAAATGCAGCTTCTCCACCTCCTCCCCTTCCTGGGCGTCGCCCTCGCAACCCCATTACACCCACCTGCACCTCCGCCTCCACCTTCACATGCACCCGTACCCGCACCACCTCTTCCTCCTCTCCACCCCCACACTCACACCCCGAAAACCAACATCAAATGCCCCATACTCTTCGACGGCCGCATCACCAAGAACCTAACCCTCCAATCCTTCGACACAGCCACCGGCTCCACCCCCTACAACCCCGACTACGTAAAAGGCGAAAACCGCACCTGGTCATCCATCCTCCTCTTCCCCTCCGTCAAAATCACGCCTCCATCCCGCTTCGACAACCCGCTCCAGCACAAACCACTCGAAGTAACAATCGACTCCGGCTCCCTCTTCCGCGCAGGCGAAAACCTGCAAACGGGGTTCCGCCGCGCCGGTCTCCTTTTCAAAGAGGACCAGAATGATGCTGGGGCTGATGCATCGGATAACGGGGTTGTGACGTTCCATTGGAGTATCCGGCAGGATGAACACAGGCCGCTTAATCTGAGCCATGAGTATATGAATGTGTGGCATGAGAAGGGTGATTATAGCGGTAACCAATTCATGTTTGTGGGTGGTGTTGTGTTGGTGGGTGATGGCGGGACGGGTGTAGATACGAAAAAGGAGAGGGAGATGTGGAAGGTGCAGAATGCGAAGAATGAGTTTGTGTTTCAGACGAGGATAGTGAGGGGGGAGTGGCAGAATTTTGGGGTGCAGTTGGATTATGTTGGGGAGTAAGTACTTTGAGTGTTCTGGGATGTGAAGGGAGGTGCATGCTGACGAGGTGATTAGTACGATCAAGGTTTATTACTCTGCGGGTGATAGGCCGTTGAAGGCGGTTACGGAGGCTACGCCTAATAGCAATGCGGGTGGTGGGCAGTTGCAGATTGGCATTGCGAAGAAGCCTACGGAGACTGAGACTGTGGTGTATGATGGGTATCAAGAGCACATTCCACTCCGCGGTGAAGGACAAATCTACGGTGGCATCTTTGTGGAGGATAGCTCGAATGGGTGTGTCAGTCTTTGAGTCTATTTAGAGAAAGGTCGATGAACGCGCACGTGTGGAAAAGATAGCTTGCAGATTCGTAGATTTTATAGTCAGACATGTTTCACCAAGTATGAGCCTGACTAACACATTCAATACCTACACAATCTAGCTATCTAACCTACATCCCTAGACTATGTAAGGAGAAGTAATAAATCCATACTTCGCGTGTCCACCGTTGTGCATGAAGTCGAGGTAGAAGTCTGAAAAGCCCTGTTTCGACGCACGAGACAGCAACTGCTGAGAACTTGCTTGCTGAACGATGTCGATAAATGGAGTCAAGTCTTGATGAGGGCTATGAGGTCCTCCGGGCAGATCGGATAGTTGTGCGGAACTGAAGCTTTCCCGGAGACAGTACTCGCATAGTGCCTCTATATGGGCGCAATGAAGCGGCTTGAGGTCTTTGCGAATGATCATAATCGAGCCTGTAATCATCCGCCACTGCGCCGGGTTAAGTATCCGCGCGTCGAAACTGAGTGAGTATGGGATAATCGTGTCGCCATAAAGACGACGATTCCTCCACGGTACAGCAGGCTCGATTAGGTGTACCTCTAACGGGATACCGATCTTCTCACCTACAGGGATCTTAAAGATACGATCAGTGTCGAAGAAGGTATTGTGGAGTGTATTGATCGGTTCGTATTTTGGTCGCTTACTGATAATAGTGTCGCCGAGGCAATTTATACGAACGCCCTTGATGGGGCCTTGTATCCGCCTCTCGGCATCGATCATGGCATCGTACCAACACGAGCGCAGATCTTCGACTATGTGCCGGAAGGATATCATGTCGAGGTGGTATCGCAGACCGCAGAATAGCAATGGTCCTTTGTAGCCACCCACTAACTCTGGATCAATGCTTCCAACGCTACCAGTCGGTCTCCCTGCGAATCTTGTCTCACCGTTTGTGTCGGCAGCGAGAAATCCGACTTGGCTGATTGGTTCGTGGGGACGCTGGAGAACCCGGTTTTCGTCGTTATCGCCTGTTGACTGTGGCGATCCGTGGACCTGGGACCGTGGTGGAAATGGCACGCTGTTGCAGTGGATGATCATCGCCTGATCAGGCTGATTGCAGTCTTCGATGCGTAGCCATACAAAGACAGGCCCCGGTCCATCCTCTGAGAAGAATATTGCGCGAAAGTGTTCTAAAGAGGGAGCCAAGCTCTGGTGGAAGTCCTCATACGATTCGCACAGAAGCTTGTGAGTTGGCCCGTCATCCTCTTGACAAGCTTCCGAACAGTATCGGCTACAGTCGCACTCAGGGCAAACTATCGTGCCGGGCTGCGGACACATCGAACATAGCGTTGAGCTTGTTGAAGCTTGAGTGGTGGATGAATTTGCCATTGAATCGTAATCTGACGGCCCTGGGTAAAGATTGATGGTGGTTGAGATCTGTTAGATCTTGTAGAGGCAACAGATGAATCGTGCATTTGGTGGGATATTTGTAGGTCTGTGAGACAACTAGCAAGACAATCGTAGAACGCACGAGACGTATCATGAGACAACGTTTGCTGAGCGTGATGTTGTGCCTGGGCAACTGATAGTAGAATGGATGTTCGTAGAAAAAGGGAATGAGACGGCAGATAGGGTAGTGGAAAACGCTGTGAGAATAGGAATGAAGGTATCGTGATTTGGTATATACAGAAGAAGAAGTCGAAAAGGAAACCGTTACCAGCATTAAGCAACTCAATGCACCATACTCTTTCCAATCTCACTCTCCCAGTTATTCGCCCTCTCAAACCCATTCGAATGGCTCTGGTAGTCCATCATAGCCTGCATGACCTCGTCTCTTGACGTGACCACAAAAGGCCCGTACTGTACGATGGGCTGGTCAAGCGGCAGACCAGCGACAAGAATGAACCGTGATGGCTTCTCAGCACCCTCCTCCACGGAAGCTTCAATGCTGTCGCCGTTGCTCTCGAAAACAACGTTGTGGTATTGTTCGATGGGCCGCGATACGCCGTCGGAAGAGAAGATAGTGGTGCCGTTGAGGAGGTATGCGAAGGCGTTCCAGCCCTTCGGTAGGGGCTGCTTGACTTTGCCGCCGGGCTGGACTGTGAAGTCGAGCAGCCAGACGGGTGTGTACGCCAGTTCCTTCAGACTCTCGGTGCCGTATGCTTGTCCAGAGATGACCTTAACGTGCACCTTGCCGTCGTCCGCGGTTGTCTCGGGGATCTCCTTCGCTCGTAGGTCGCGGTAGCGGGGCTCGCATGACTTTAGTTCTTTGGGCAGGTCGACCCAGAGTTGCATTCCGACGTTGGGCGCGCCGTCCTCGTTCTGGCGCGGCATCTCGGCGTGGACGATGCCGCGACCGGCTGTCATGAATTGCAGGTCGCCTTGCTCGATGGTGCCTTTGTTTCCGGCGAAGTCTTCGTGGTCGACGGCGCCGGAGAGGAGGTATGTGATGGTTTCTTGGCCTGAATGAGAAGTCAGTCTGTGGATCATGAGTATCTCGTCTGCGCTCATCTACGTACCTCGGTGTGGGTGGTCAGGGAAGCCTGCGCCGGGTGGAATGGCAAAGTGGTCGAGCATGAGGAAGGGAGAGAAGTTGCGCAGTTTGGGGGTGCCAACACTCCTCCTCACTTTCGCTCCCGCGCCTTCAGATTGCTCGACAGCAAGGAAGGACTTTGCGATCTTGCGGGGCGCATCGGTGGTGAACTTCTCGTCGGGGATGACGGGCAGTCCGCGGAACATGGTCGACATATCTTCCGTGGCGTTGTAGAAGGGCTTGGTAGTCTTTGCGAGGGATGTGACGTGTCTCAGTGAGTGTGTAAGTCTCGAGAGCATGTACTCGTTGTTGTATACTGCAAGTGCAATTGCGATGATGGCGATGAGGAGGGAGGAAAGCGTCTTCATGGGTCGGGCGGGGGCGCTTTATGCAAAACGCGACTAGGGTGACGAGAATGTTCGAGGGAGGCTTCGGGGCGGTCTGGTGTGGGTGCCATCGTGAGCTTGCTTGGTTGGTAAAGGTTTAACAATCCGGCGCGTCTTAACCTGAGGCTTGGCGGAGAATGCGCTGCTTATGTCGAGCATGACCAAGCAACACTAATGCGATAGTGGGGCGGCCGACGGAAGGTGGAGCTTCCGTTGGCCAATCAGACAAGAGTCGATGACGGAAGACATTCCGTCATCTCTCGCATCTCAGCACCCAGCATTCCTTTGAGTCTACTCTCATCGCGTCGCATTGCTGTCCCTCTCTACCATTTTCCTACTCATCATGCTCAATGTACTTGGACTATGTACAGACATATCCACGATGTCCTCTCAAAGCCGACATCCGGCACCCTTACATGTCAGGGCATTCCGGTAACTCGGCAGCGGCGGCCAATTCAAGAATCTTCTCTCTTGCATCAGGCTTCCGGATCTCTGGATTTTGCCAGTTGCATGTTTTTCTACATGATGCAGCTCTTCCGTTTTCTCTCTCGTATCTCGCGTCTGGGCTCTTCGGCCCGCTTCTTATGGATCTTCTGGTACGTGCAAACGCTCGTACCCTGCAAACACATGCAAATATTTACTTAGAAATGTCGCAATGTCGCACAAACGTCAACATTTTAGGCTGGAAAAGGTGATTCGCTACTCATAGTTGCTCACACACATCCCCACACCGTTCCATAAGGCACAAACCACTACAGCTTCCATGCCAAATTCCAGGTTCAAAGCGTCAGACATACGCCGATACCTCATCGATACATCTCAGCACGAAGAGCGTGATGTCGACTTTGAAGATGAAGAGCCCTCCAGCGTATCCCAGACATCTACTGTGGAACATGATCAAGAGCCGTTCGAATTCTTCAGTACAAGAGTTATAGAGCTTTGCGCCGCTCAATTCCCAAGATCAAGCTTCCAAGTCGAGCGCCTGCGCGGTGGGACTTACAATCGCATCACCGCGATCAGTGTTACGCTTTTACCTCCTCGCGCTTTCACTGTTCCATGGATACGTTCGTTGCTACCCATTAATGAAGCTCACATCAAGGCTTACGCGCCAAAACACTACATACTGAGGAGCGCACGAAGGGAGCCTTCCAGCGACGACTTGGATATGAGCTATGACTTGGCTACTCTGAAGTTCGCGCGTATAAAATTCGCAAAATTCGGCAACATCGTGCCTCACGTTATACAGCTCGATGAACATACGCGTAATCCTTTGTCGCGGACCTATATCATTCAGAACCGTCTTCCCGGCCAAAATCTCAATAAGATATGGCTCGGATTTTCGATCAAACAGAAGATAAGCACGATGCACATTGTTGTTCGTGTCATGAAGAGATTGCATAAGATTCAGGGACCCAAGGCAGGTATCATTGCCCGACTAAGAGTCCTACTACTTTCTCGCGGCGAAGTCATCCCGGAAATTTGTGCCTTCAGAACTACCAAGGGCCCGGTATCAGCAGTTACAGGACCCGTGGACCGCCCCGCTGAGGCTATGACTACCCGTCAATTCTTGCTACACCAGAGTAGTCGATGGCAAAGACTGGAGCAGGATCAGGAGGACGGCGATGAGGTTATATGGGATTGTTTCGATATCATCACCACATCCCTTCACAACATGGGCTTTATTCCGGATAGCGACCGATTCTACTTCTGCCATCTCGACCTCTATCCGCGAAACATGCTCGTAGAGATTGAAGAGGACTCATCGCTTTTGCTCACCGGACTGCTGGACTGGGATGCTCAGTTCGCATACTTTTGCCCCAAGTTCGTCGCTTATCGTGCGCCGTTCTGGCTATGGGTATCGGGTGGTCACGAGTACAACGAGATGATAGCTGCAGATGAGCCAACGAATGCTGATCACCGGCGATTGAAGAGCTTGTGGGAAGAAGCGGTGAGTGTCGAGTGGAAGCGATATGCCTACGAACCGGAGTATATGATCGCGAGGAGAATGTTTGCTCTGCTCCGAGACGGCATTCGCCATGATGGAGACAAAGAGGAAGCCAGGTCTATTGTCGATGAATGGCAGAAGCTGCATTACGATTAGAGGCTTGCCACCGCATACGCGAATGATGAGAGCGATGGTGCCGAGGCAAGTATGAGCTTTGGGAACAGAGACGGGAACATACTAACGCTAGCCCACCAAGACTCAGAGCTCGATGATTTGCTGGATGAAGATGATGAGGCTTGAGACCGGGGTGAGTAAGAACCGCACTACTGTTAATTCGATGGTAGAGAAGACATGGGTTCTGGAAGCCTGTACTCAATACTATATCCTGATGTGTGCAGAATGCACCTTGTTATGCGTGACGTATCCCGCAGATGATGCGTCGCATGGCCAATCATAAGCTCACAGCAAGAGTGGGGTGAAAGCCTTCGCAATCCCACTTGCCCCATCTTCGACAACATGACGCCGTTATCGATAGCGCAGCGTTCATGAGGGGTAAGTGATGCTGGGAAATGATGATTGCGAAATCGAGAGTAAACAAACGTGGTATAATTGAAGGCGACAAGTCTCGATAGCGCGCTGCAATTTTCCAGACACCACCACCAACACGACAAAGTACCTGGGTATCACCACATTACAACCACTTGATCACTTCAACAACACTCTTTACGTTGATATCCCACTGAACTTGACCGAGAGAGCTCATCATGCCAAACGTCGGTCAAGCGCCTCCCATCCTAGACTTCTCAAGTACGTTGACTCGCTAAACAGCCTTAGCAGTCGCAACCTTACTGACGAGGCCAAGAGTTCTACCAAAACAACCCAGCATCCAAGAAACAGCTCGTAGACGAAGTGCGAAACTGCTGCCTGCACAATGGCTTCTTCCAGATCACGGGTCACAACGTGCCAATCGAGCTGCAAGACAGGATGATGGACTGGAACAAGAAGTTCTTCGATCTACCACTGGAAGAGAAGAACAAAGTCAACAAAGGTACGTTCAGTAACACCATTCAGTAACAGCTTCTTGGCACATAAGCTCATCCTCATTTCCACCCAGACACAACCAACACCTGGAACCGGGGCTACGAGCTCCTCGAATCGCAAATCCTCGAAGCCGGCACCTCCCCCGAACTAAAAGAAGGCTTCTACATCGGCGACGAAATCCCAAAAACGCACCCCTACTTCCTCAACAAGAAGCTCAACTCCGGGCCCAACATATGGCCGTCCTCTACCTCCCTACCAAAAGTCCAAGACTTCAAAGCCACATCCTTGGAATACTACGCCGCCGTCGTCTCCCTCGCAAAAGACATCTTAAAAGTCCTCGCCTTGACACTCGATTTGGAAGAAACCTACTTCAACGCCTTCGCCACAGGCGCAGTAGCAACAATGCGCCTCCTGCACTACCCGCCCCAACCCCCGTCCAGCCCCAGCCACCTCACCCGCGGAATAGGCGCGCACACAGACTTCGGCTGCATAACCATCCTCCTCCAAGACACCGTCTCCGGGCTGCAAGTCTACGACCACGCCACGAAAGAATGGCTCGACGTAACACCCACGCCCGGCGCTTTCGTCATCAACCTAGGTAACCTGATGATGCGGTGGACTAACGACCGGTATGTGAGTAATCTGCATCGTGTTATCAATGTGAGTGGGCAGGAGAGATATAGTATTCCGGTGTTTTTTAGCGGGAATCCGGAGTATGTGGTGGGTTGTTTGCCGAATTGTAGGGGGGAGGGGGAGGGGGTGAGGTGGAAGGAGATTACGGTTGAAGAGGCGATTTTGGGGGGGTATAGGGAGAGTTATGGGAGGGCGGAGGAGTGGAAGAGGGGTCAGGAGGAGACGAGGAAAGGGGAGGATGCGGTTGTTAGGCAGGAGGTGGTCGTTGCGTAGAGCTGTCGCGATTTCCAGGGAATGAGTTCTAGATGGGCTGTCTACTCTACCACCGCGTAATGTCCTGTGAAATGATGCTTGATATCTCGGTATCGCACTTGACGTGAAGTTCCATGTGTTGGCCCGGTGTTCGCGCTGCATTCCGTGTTAAGAAGTTGCCGGCAGAACCTAACCGTCCGACGACAAGGGTTCGGTAAAATCTGGCCGCACTTTTGGCCCCCAAACGCTTACATGCGAGAACGCCAATGTCTCTGATAGCTTCGCATTGGCTCGCAACAACACCAGGCGAAGTCTGGACAACAGCTGTGAGAGATCTGCCTCCAATTACCCTGTTATCGGTTTCTTAGCCGTGCTGTGGACCCTCCAGCTTGCATGTTAGCGGCCTATTTATAGGCCGCCGCGGATAGTAGCGAGAAGGTCTTGTACACTTTCTCCCTAGAAGCGCTCTATACTTAGATATGTGCTTCTCCAGATGCGCAAAGACTGGTGTCTAGCTTCGGCACGTCATCTGCTAGGTAGCCCTGGACCTGCCTGTTCATGCCGTAGTAGGTAGTGGGTAGTTTGTGACTGGCTTGGTCGTATAGCCTTACACCTTTATTAAAGCAGGACAAGCTCTTATATTAATAATACTTCTCTTTTTTTAAGAGAATCTAATTAGATAAGTTTATATAGAATTTAGAAGTTATAAGTTACTTATTTATATTACTACTATAGTACTATAAGATAAAATAAAAGAACTAAAGTATATATTATACTCTAAGTTAAAAGAAAGTAATATATAAAATAGTTACTACTACTATATCTTTATTACTTATATAACGTATATATAATTATAGTAAACTTTATTATTACTACTACTTTTTTAAACTTAAATATTTAAATTACTTACTATAGCTTTATAGTACTTAAAGATATCTTTTATAAAAGCTTCTACTTTATAAAAACTACTATAAGTAAGTTTATATTACTAGTAAAAAGTTTTTTTTTTCTTATTATTATTTCTCTTTTTAATATATTTACGTAAAATATAAAAAAGTATTACTTTATTCTTAGCTAACTTTATAGTATATTATAGTATTAGTATTAAAAATATAGCTAATATCTATTTTAAAATTAATAATTACTAAAAAGACTTTTTTAGCTACTAAGAAGGCTACTATAGATAGCTTTCTTTAATAACTTTAGATACTTAGCTTTACGCTATTACTAGTAAAATAGAAATTTCTTAGTATAACTATTAACTTTATAAATAAGCTATAAAAAAAATAATTTAATACTATACTAGTAGGCTATAGTATAAAGCTTACTAACTTTAAAGTTTAAAGAGTTATAGATAGCTAGCTAGAGTAAATAAAATATATTATAGAATATATAATTGTATAGGTAATAATAGCTGCATATAAAACACAAGAGTTAAAGCAGAACATGTGTAATGCTGCAGCGAAAGAGATACTAGAAATGTGAAAGAGCTTTAGATTGCATACTATCATCATCGACATTATCTTTTGAGTATACTTAGCCGCGGGTTAAGCACGCGAAGGATGATACCGAGGTGCTAGTGACTGGTCGCTGTGGCTTCAACACCATAAGGAGAGTAGAATAGCTCTGAAGTGGTATCGCGTCGGGCGGATGCTGATAGCATGCTAGTCGCGCGAGAAGCCGTCTCTGGGGTATGTGATGGTGATATTCAAGAAGTCGTCCACCACATCCGCCGAAACATACTACACTTTTGTCCACCGTCGCCATGGTTGCCCAACATGTTGACCCAGATATGCTCACAAAGATGTGCCAATTCACAAGCACATACTATCGCCGACCATATCCCGCTCTTGAAGAAGTACAATATACAGGCGCTGGCAAATACGTCCTTGTTACCGAAGCTTCGGAAGAAATCGGTCGGGCAATCGCTTCCTCGTGGGCCAAGGCAGGAGCTGCCGGCATCGCCATCAGTAGTCGCGATGCAGACGATCTCGAGCCCGTCATCGTCAGACTGAAGCGACTCAACCCCACAACACAGGTCCTGGCTATGGCTTGCGACACCACAAAATCGGCCGAAGTCGCCAGACTGTTTGATGCGATAAGAGAGGGGTTTGGCCAACTCAACGTAGTCGTCGCAAACGTCGGTACGGCACATCTCAGCAGGATAGGTGAGACCGACGACAATGACGAGTGGTGGGCCGATATGACGACGAACTTCCGCAGCACACATCTTCCCGCCCACCAATACATCCGCACATTTGGCCCGGCACCGACCGGAACATTCATCTCCATCACATCCGGCGCGGGGACCGTTGTGACACCCGGTCTCTCTTCCTATGGCATTGCGAAACAAACCGACCGCCGGCTCATCGAGTTCCTCAACGTCGAATATCCAGATATGAAGGCTTTCTCGCTAGATCCTGGGGTTGTGAGGACGGAGAGGACAAGCGATATGTTCAAGCCCTTTGCGTTTGATAACTCGGAGCTAGCGGGCATGTTCTCGGTCTGGCTAGGCGGAGGAAGAGCAGATAAGCTGAAGGGCAGCTATGTGCATGCTACATGGGATATAGAAGAGTTGGAAAGAGAAGCAGACGATATAGTCGGGCGAGGTACACTGAAAGATAAGTTTCCAGGGAGCTTGCTGGTACAAGAGGGTGTAACCTGGGGAAACCAGATTCATGCACCGGAACGACATCTGTAACTTCTGATTGCGAGGAGATTGAGCATGTGTATAAACGATCCGAGAGGTGCCTCGCACAACGAATGCGAAACCGATGTTGATGCCACCTTGATGCTGCTGAAGCCGTGATGTCCTGATGTGTGCAACAACCCCGAAGCTACATTTCAACAATCGTGTGTACTGGGCCGGCCAGCCGCTTCTCAACCTCTTCCCATGATGCCATCCGCCTCTTATCTTGACTCCATAGGGTACCACCTACTCCGTGATTCCATATCCAGGCATCGCATAAAATGATGTCGTCCTCATCGCCGTAAAAGCTGACCGGTACGTCAGCTTCCCAGATACGTACTGTATCTTGATGTGTCCAGTTCCGGGTCTTGTTTGGTGTCCGATGGTTCGAGTTCACATCGACCAGAACAACGTCCAGGCTTTTCCCGTCGTATGATCTGAATATTGAGTCGATGGTTTTCGCTGCTAGATTGACGGGTCGCATCATCACAAGCGTTTGCAAGGATGGGGTCTTGAGACAGAATGCTATTTCTAGATCCGACATCTCTTGGGTAGTGATGGCAAGCCGTTTGAGATTGGGTGGTGGGTGTCGAAAGTAGTTGACCACATCGTAGCTGACAATGAGCTCTTCAAGGTGCAGCATGTGTGAAAAGACCCTGTTCTCGGTGATATGCGGCCTGATTTGCTCAACCTCACTTGGTGGTGCATAAATCGGAGAGAGATCTAGAGCCAGTCTCTTGAGTGAATTCCCTGTCAGGGAAAAGAGGTCAATTATTTGTGGTAGTCGAACCAAAGGCGTGTAGTTCCCTTCGATCAGCCTGCGCACCTCGGTTGGTGAGATGAATATGGATGTTATATGGCGGAGTGCCTGGGCTTCCGCGAAAAGTTCTTCGTTTCGCCCGGCTTCTCCATAGTTGAGAGCTTGTGGGTGATGCCCCAGGTTTAGTCCGAGTGTTCTGCGAAATCGCGCATAGGTCGTGCAACTGTCCAGATACAGACAATGCGAGTAAAGATACTGTGTTGCTATAAGATAAGTGTTGCGCGACACCAGAGTGAGTGCGCGCAACGTCTTGGTGACGATGTTTGACGGTGCATACGCTACAGGATGCTGGCCGTTGTGGGTACCCACAAGTTGATCGAGAACGTTGAGGAACAGCTCTAATGGCAAGCTGGCGAACCCTCGCGATATATTCTTCGGGAAGTCAGCCTGTTCCATTAGTTCGCTAGCGATATTGAGTAGTTATGTGCAAGCTGGAGATGGCGAGAATAGATTTTGGCGACAATTGTTGAGCCTCCTTACGTCATCACCTTCCCCGCTCGCGGCCCGCACGCTAATCTACATAAAGTCTAGTCTGGGAGCTAATCCTGGAATGTACGAGCGACTTGCGAGCTACGGCGGCGGCCGTGGCGTCCGTAGGCCCCGTGATCAATCTCTAGAGTAACACCGTTACCCAGCGCAGTTCGGCCGACTCGAAACGAGGCTCGTTCTAGGGTGCACAAGGCCTCATTCGGGGCAACAACACATCCGACCCATTCGTAGGTGGAGGCGGAGAATCAAATACACCGCTCCGCCCACTCCTATGCAATACCCCCTCATCAATCGGCTTCGACTGACCAATTGCGTGTTTTTGTACTCGTATGCCCCCCAAGCCTCCTGACTGGTCGCGTCTGATGGTGTGTCCCCAAATGCGTTCAGACCCACTGCTCGGTCGCTATCATCCATGCTTTTGACCGGCAGCTTTGAGCGAATGCATCAAGTCTCTCATGGTGCGGATGCGAGCGTCTGCCAGTTGTGCTACTTCCAAGGCGGCCCACGAAGTACCCTCCAGGATGCGCGTCACCATTGAATCTAGCAACCACCGCGAAAAATGAAGGGCCGTTCACGGCTTTAGCCTCCACATTCCGCAAGTGCTGGCAATATGTAAAGGGCCCACGCAGCTAGAGATTCGAGGGAACATATTGCAAGTGGGATCACAAAACCAGTCCTCCACTCGACCAAGATCTATACCAGCGCGAACTGCAATATCACTCGAAGTCCATCAACATGCCACTTCAGCGGGGCGTCTTAGCCGCTATGTTGGTGGTACTGGCCTACATCATCAAGGTACAAGACTCATACCAAGCTCCTTTTCTTCAAGCTAACAATGCGAAGATTGTGTGGACAGGGCTCACAGGTCCATTGTCGAAGCTGCCCGGGCCATGGTACACTAAATACACCAACCTCGTCCTTCGTTACCAGACAGTTTCAGGCAAACGAATTTTCTACGTGGACAATCTTCATCAGCGCTATGGCGGCGTCGTGCGAATCTCGCCAAACGAGACAGCCGTATCGGATATAGCCGGTGTCAGTCAGATACACAAGATCGGTGCTGGGTACCTGAAGTCGGACTTCTACTCGTCTCTCCTCCCAACTGATACACCCGGTATATTCCCGATGCGCGATCCACATGCACATGCCGCAAGAAGAAGGCTGTTTGCCCGACCCTTCAGCAACACCAGCTTGAGCAGCAACTGGGACGTGGAGATCAGGACGAAAGCAAATCTAGCTGTCCAGAGAATTCGACACGACGCAATGGGTTCATCGCAAGGTGCCGATGTCCTCAAATGGTGGACGCTCATGGCGAATGATGTAATCGCTCACCTCAGCTTTGGAGAGAGCTCCGAAATGCTTGAGATGGGTAAGGTATGCAACTCAGCCTTCTTCAGTCTTGCTATGTATGCAATTTCTAATAACAGAGGTAGCAAACATCATACATCGATGCTATTCAGGCTGCGCTTATTTGCGGTATCATTCGGTCTGAAATTGGAACTACCATCTGGAAACTTCTCAGTTACCTCCCCATCGAACGGATAAAGTTTCTCTACTCGATCGATGATGTCCTGAACGAACACGGCGAGCGGGCGATACAGAAGATGCGCAGTGAGGGTGGCAATACCAAAAATCTCTTCAATCAAATGTTGGCTGCCGGGGAAGACAATAAGACTGCTGCGCTTTCGAATAAACACATAAGGGAGGAAGCGGCCGGCTTCATTGTGGCGGGATCGGACACTACCGCGGTGACGCTCACGTATCTCGTCTGGGCGGTTCTCAAGCAGCCTGATCTGCAGTCTCGACTCGAGAACGAGATTGCAGAACTCAGCGAGGAGCTTACGAAGGAAGAGCTCGAGACTGCACCTCTACTGAACAGCGTCATCGCAGAGACTTTGAGGCTTTATGGCGCTGCTCCTGGTGCGTTACCTCGGGTTGTACCGAAACAGGGCACTGTCATAGGCGGCCATCACATCCCCGCGGATACTGTGGTCAGCACTCAGGCTTACACAAACCATCGCGATCCCTGCGCCTTTCCCAATCCCCACGAGTTTGACGGTCTTCGCTTTTTGGACAAGAGCATGATGTCAGCACATCAGAAGGCGTCATACATGCCCTTTGGAGCTGGCTCGAGGGTGTGTATCGGCATACATCTGGCGTACATGGAGCTCCGCTTAGGAGCTGCCCTCTTCTTCCGACATTGTCGCGGCGCCAGAATATCCGACTCCATGAACGATGAGATGATGGAGATGGACAACAACTTCTTGATTGCTCCCAAGGGTCATCACTGCTACATCACCCTGAGATGAGGAATCTCAACTTCAATAACTTCTGGTAGTTGCGAAGTTCTTCGACATCATCCATTAGCCTTTGCATCGAATGTTGCACGCGTGTAGGTAGGAAGTAAGAGAATTATACGGTTATTTGCTCTATGAGGGGAATTATATGCACGATAAAGTGAACGTTCCTCAATTCCACTCTGCTTCAAGATCACCAATCTTATCCTCTGGATACAAGGCATTCCACTCTTCTGCCAGCTGAAGCGCCAGATACCGACGGTCGCCCAGCAATCCACTGTTGACCACCCTAAACAGCTTTCTCGCGATGGCACTCTCGCGCGAAAGACCGAATATGATGAAATCTTCTGACGCTGCGCTCCTAAAAGCCTGCTTCAACGTCTTGAACTTTCCTTCAGGCGGCTCGTACGTTGCCAAATCTTCGTCTCTCTCATCCATCGAGTGACCTGCCCACGCCCAGAACGGGGGTCGAAGGGCCACAAATTTGGGTGCGAAGCAAGCCATATCCCAGTCTACGATACCTGTGATCTCCACAGTCTCTGGCCCTGTGATCTTAGCGAGTATATTGCGGGGAAACAAGTCGCCATGCGTAAGATGAAAGCGCTGCCCCAGCCATCCGCGCCGATCTAGAGCTTTCGCAACGGCGATCATGATTTGCCACATGTTCTTGTTTCGACTCGCACGTCCAATCTCTTCTTCGTACTTCTGCCAGCGCTGGCAATGATCAATCAGATACCCAAAAGGTGTTTGAGATGGCGCTGGACTCTGGCTGGGCTGAGTGAAGTGTGGTCGTAACTTCGCTTCTTTGTCCGTGGGAACGGGGAATTGATCTAATGCTATAGCTGAGCTTCCTGAGGTCAAGTTACTCAGCGAGATGAACCCAGCCGCGGGCGTCGTGACGGCTGAAATCTTTTCCACTGTTTGCGTAATCTGCTGGATGGCCGACGCTTTCTGTTGCGAATTTAGCTCTAGCCACAATGCATGTAAGTTCTTGCCAGGTAGTAAGGTCTGCAGGGTATATGGCCGTCCCAAGGCATTTGTCGGACCAAGATCGTACTTCTCAATCTTGGGTATGGGTAGCCCTAGGCAGGAGCTGATAACGCGTTGAGTAACAATGTCGCCAGCAACGTCGCTCACAGGAGGACCATCCATGTCTCCCTTCTTGTCCCTTGGGATTCTCAAAGCAAACTTACGGACTCGTGGAGGTATGCCAAGGAATCTTGACACTCTAGCGCTAAAGTCGACCCCGGAGTCACGTCGCTCCGCCCCGTGTTGTAATGTGACAGCTACGACGATATTGAAAGAGCCCATACCAAGCACTCGGAGTGAAGACTCTTCGATCTCGCTCTCAGGGAACAGATCGGCAATGAGTTGCAGAATTCGAAACTTCAGTCTCAAGACTGTTTCTCTCCCTTCCCGAAAGCCTACGCCACCCTCAGTGAAGATGTTTTCGTCATCGAACAAGCGCCGTAAGGGGTTCTCGCTCTCATATCCAGAAGTTGTCAGTTCATCGTTGCTCGGGACGCGATCTGGGAGGTATTCTCTAGCCGCTTCAATGCAGGCGATGTCGACTTTGTTCAGTCCTTGAAGGGGCATACTGAGATGCGCCATCAAGTGCAGCTTTGATGGTTATATGAACTTCACCGTTCTTACTCCTGCTATTGATGAGCCCATAAAGGAAGATTGTGCGGATGGTTTTGTCGATATTGAACTAATGTGTGCACTGTGAACTGAGTCACAGCGATCGCTCGGATACGACGGTCGCTGTAGGTGTACAACGTCTTTCCAACAGTTTGATGAGAGTGAAAAGACTTTGCGCTGTGTAAGCGATACAGCTTCTGGAAGGATAGCCAGCACAATTCACGCTAAGGTGTCCTACGACACATGCCGTTAATAGCTTCAGTTTAGTATTACAATCACTCATAGGTTCAAGCCAATCATCACTTCGAGGACTTAACGTAGAATTTTGCAGCTCTGAATCCTCAAGAAATAGGTCTTGATGGTACCGTAATCGCATAGATAACTAAAAGTAGATGTGCGTATTCTAGAGAGCTTAACGAACCAACGAAGATACTTATCTCAAAACACTGATCATCTCACATGTCAAGCTAGAGAGAAGGCAAAGGTTTCAATACGAGGATCGGACTAAGCGATTGAGTATTGGCATTTCCTTCACATACCGAAAACATGTAACTGCTACTCCGTGACAATGAGCTCGTCTTCTTCTGTATCCGTTGTAGGCTCAATGTCTTTGCCAGGCTCATCGTCCTTTGTACTCTCGTCGTTCTCCGTAGTCTTATCGTCCTTTGCAGGTTCATCATCCTTTGTAGGCTCATCATCAGAGTCAGACTCAGCCTCAGAGTCGGATTGCCAATCATAACGGAACCGAACATTATCCTCAGGGTGGAGCTTATCCCACGCCTTGACAACGCTTATTGCCTCATCATTGTACCAAGGACTGTTCGCCCCCTTCTGCATGATATAGAACATACGTCTAGCAAGCATTGCCTCTGGTGCAAAGGCAAAGAACTTGTACTTCTCCGACGCATTGTCAAGGAAAACTTGCTTCAAGATCTTGTCCTCCTCAGTAACGGGCTCCACGTTGGCCACGCTTTCGTCATCTTCCTTAGCGCTAGGCATGTCTTCAGGGGTCCAAAGGGAAAATGGTGCTCTATAGGCCATGAACTCTGGCGCGATAATGGCCGTATCCCAGTCGATAACGCCTGTGACGACAGCCTCGGTGTCACTACGTACTTCGGCTAGGATGTTGTAACATTTGAGATCACCATGAACGAGTACACATGGCCCTTCGAGAAAGCCACGAGCCTCTAGAGCCTTCGTGATCCTCGCGAAGCTTATCCAGATGTCGTCGAAAGGAGCGTCCTCGGAGTTGTGGTATTCGCTCCACTGCTTGCATCGCCCAAGCATGTAGTCGAAAGGGTCATCGTTCAAAGCCGGCTCAGGCTTAAACCCCTCACGACTTGTTATATAAAACGTCTGGGTTAAGATCGGAGAAGTCGGAGGTTTGTTCAGGTTCTGAGAAGATATGTCGCCAATTGATCCTTCTACTGAGGCGATGGTGGGAGCGAGAGCGATGATCTCCTTGGCGAGGTGCTTCTTCTGCTCCATATTGAGATTGTTCCAAAGGTTCGTCGCGAGAGTGCGACCAGGGAGATGGGTTTGGATCATGTATGGACGTTCGAAAATATTTGCAGTGGTAAGATCATAGCTCGCAACCTTGGGAATGGGCAGAGGCAGCCGAGAGCCCGCTGCCTTCAGGATTGACACCTCCCTTTCCATGGCTTGGGCCATGGATTCGTCATTGTTGTATTCCATTCTCGGGACGCGCACGACGTACGACTCTGACTTCGTAGCCGCCTTCTTCTTGCGCGCGCGCAAGCAGGGAAACAGAAACCAGGCCAAGGTGAACCTTTTGGGCTTTTGCGCGATTGAGACGCCGATGACTCGGTTGTAAGACCCGCCCTTCATCTCGTAGACTGTGATGTCTCGCGGGTCTCGCCCGAATATCTTCGCGGCTAGTGCGGCGACTTTGTGTTGGATCGTCTCGAATGGCTCCTGGCCATAAATCATCGTGTTTGTTTCTGAGACTGCATCGTCTGCTACATCGTGATGCTGTTCATCATCAATGTCTTTTGGTTTGTCTTGGTCTTGCATGCAAGTGTCCTCGGCGGGGGCGTTGACAGAGTCTGGCGCATCCGAAATGCGTGTCGGCGGAGCCGCCGGGTTGGGGGAGCAAGTCGACATGATGCGACTTCTGAATACGGAGGAACGTTGCAGTGTAGGCGGAAGGATCTTTAAAAGGTGTCAGGGCGCATTGTTGTGCCGTAGCTCTTTGTTTGCTGGACGCCAAGCCTTGTCGGTGCACAAGGTCGTTTCCTTCTGAACCATCACTGCAGGAGCGGTGTGAATGCTCAATGTGATTCACTTTCTCCGAGTCAAGTCCCGTATTGTCGCAGTGGGTTTCTTGGAGTCTGCGTATATAATGCTCCATACGTGCAGCGCAACACTTGTAAGCAACCCGACAGTAATACAATCCACAAACAACCAAAGACTACACTAGAGTGACCACTGTAACACTATCACCATGGGAAATTTTGGCGAATCGGATCAACCCAGATGTACGAAGCACACTAAGAAAACTATACATCACTGTCCTGGCGAAAACGGCTGGGTAGGCGAATGGAGCCCTAGTGGCTGCAACACAAAGTATCACGGGGACCTAGGGGGCATCTACTGCAAGAAGCACCAAATGCCGTGTCGTCAAGGCTGCGTCAACCAGTCTCACATGAAGAATCAGCCTGGCTGTCAATCATGTAAGGGCAAATGGGCGCGTGAAGCTAAGGCGGAACGGGAGGCAAAGGAAAACGTGAAGGTGAACGAAAAAGATAAACAATTTGAAGAATTCATGAACCCAGGTAGAACAAGAAAGAAGGAAAAGAAGTAAACGATGGAAAGAGGTACCTGCCATTAAGATGGAGTAGACGTATGGATGGATAGTTCACGGTTCGGAGTATATCGGAGGCAACGTTGAAGTGTCGGGTACATCCAAGGTATACCATGATACCTTACACTTCGCACTCTCCCCAGTATGACTTCTGATGTGAAATGATCTGTTCGTTATGAAATGATCGCGGAGCTAAGGAATCTCCCCACTTGCTGAACATCTCATCATGACACCTGTACGAGTGACACAACTTGCATTTGGCCCCGTAGAGGCCTCTTCCGCTACTGACTAGGCTCGATCCCGATGCTCTCTAAGACGGACCAGAACAACGGGAGGGTGATCACCCATATCTCTCTTCTTGACGTCCACGATCCCAGACGCCTCCACGAAATCACGCAGGCGTTCGTAACCGTAGTTGCGTGCGTTGAGGTCGGGCGAGATCTTGCTGAGGTAGACGCCGACGTCGGCTAGATGAACCCAATTGTCAATGTCGCTCCTGCAACTATTCACGGCCCTGGACAAGCCCTCGACTGCTGACTGATCAAGAGGCCTTTTGCCCAGCCTGGGAGTTGTGTTGACGACAGGGTGGGAATCGACGAAGCCGAATGGGCGGTCTGTAAGGGTGGTTTCCTCGGGCGGCAGGTTAAGTACATCGAAGTAGGTAAACTTATCGCAAGCGGCAATGAACGCGTTGTTTGTCTTGCGTTCGCCAAACCCGAAAACGGTGACGCCCTGCTCCCGGATGCGGGATGCGAGCCGGGTGAAGTCGCTATCGCTCGAGACGATACAAAAGCTGGAGAAGCGGCCAGTGTATAGCAGGTCCATTGCGTCGATAATCATGGCGCCATCAGTTGCGTTCTTGCCCGTGGTGTACGCAAATTGCTGGATGGGTGTTATTGAATGATTGAGTAAGCACTCTTTCCATCCTTTGAGCGACGGAGAAGTCCAGTCGCCATAGATTCGCTTTACGCTGGCCGTGCCGTAGTTGGCTATCTCAGCCATCAAGCCGACAATGACCCTGGGTGAGACGTTGTCACCGTCTATCAACACCGCTAGACTGGCATCCTTCGAAGCCATTGCTGTTCTCTCAAAAGCTTTGGCTAGTAAGGACTGTTATGTATCAGGCAGAAGTGGTACTTGGGGGAAGCGTTGCTGAGATGATTACTACCCTGCGATACCATTCAGGCACAATGCGCTAACCCCGGTGGGGCACAAGTACTCAGGCTTTAAGGCATCGACTTCAGCTGTGTGGTACCGCATCGAAGATGCTATTCAGTGATCTGTGATAGGGTTGACATCGACTGAATTGTTGTTGTGATGACTGAGAGTCGCGTTCACCGGCTCTTTGGAATGCGTCGGTGGCCGGCCCGTGGAGTCGTCCTCGCATCGCCCGGGAATCTTGAGAACGTACACATAGCTCTTGTGATGAGCTAGCAATTACTCCATTGTGCGATACCGTTGCACGGCTGTTCTACTCTGGTTGAGGGTCGCGAGATCTGCTGGCGGGTCGCGTCGTCATAATGTTCGCTACCCCCGAGCGTCAACGCGTGTGGGCTTAATTTCGTGTCACATCGCGCGCGCCCTCAGAAATGAGCATAGGAATACATCGCATATAAATCGCGGGACACGACCGATGTCTGCGCGCTGGTGTGCAAAATCGAGACGAGTGCTGGAATTTCAAAGATTCGACGAAAAGGGATGATGTGGGGCGGTCTTTCCGAGGTTGACAGGATCGCGCACCTGCCCAGGTGTTAAGGCCCGCTACCAGCCGTCAGCCAATCACATCGACGTCTGTGCAAACCAATCACATACGTCATCGACGTTTAGAACAGTATCATCGCAGAGACGCGCCGCGACAATGGTCACTACACGTTCTGCATCCTTCAATTCTGCTCCCGGTAGACCCCGTCGCTCTGTTCCTCGCTCTCAAGTTTCGGCAAGAGCCCGTGAAGTTCACAATCGTCGCGTACAACAGTCGCGTCGGTCCATTCCTCACTCTCAAGTTTCGGAGAGAGCCCTGGAGCGCAACAAATTCACAGGCTCCGCGCGCATCACGCAATTCACGCTGAGCGCCTCGGCAAACTGATCTGTACTGCTTCCAGATAGTGACAGTGAAGGTCCTCCAGCCCGTGATAGTTGGTGGAAGGCTTGGACAGGTGTGGACCAACACAGCTTCAAGAACCATGTCGCTGAAGCGAGGTGCCATTGACTCGTTCTTCAAGCGCCCTGAGCCCAAGAAGCCCAGATATGAAGCAAGTCTTCACAAGTCAAGTCATGCGTCTTATCCCTTCGCCATCCCACATCTGCCTGCCCCGTTCACGGAGCAGTTAGGATTCGCACCTGCTAAGGAGGGCAAGCTCATAAACGACCAGCTGGATCTAGATCTTGTATACTATCAGCCATACGTACCTTCCGGTATTGCGCCAGGGCTTTTCGAGTTCCTTCGACGGGAACTTCCCTTCTACCGCGTGCAGTACAACATCACCCGCGGGGGAGCCCAAACACAGATCAACACGCCGCGGTTTACGACCGTATTCGGTGTTGATGACACATCGCGCTTCGCAGCTGATGGAAGCATCGTAGATGCAAAGACTGGAAAGCCGGTTGAGAAGAGCCGCTACAAGTGCGCACCTCGTCCTATCCCACAGTGTCTGGAGGAACTGAAGAAAGTGACAGAGGGCACCACTGGCGAGACCTTCAACTTTTGCCTCGTCAATTACTACGCCGATGGCAAGGACAGCATATCGTACCACTCCGACGATGAGAGGTTCCTCGGTCCTAATCCAGCAATCGCATCGTTCAGTCTCGGTGCAAAGCGCGACTTCTTGATGAAGCACAAGCCTATTCCACCCAAGGCAGGCGTTGTGGTGAAGGAGCCAACGGGCATCAAGCTGCCTCTCGGCTCGGGAGATATGGTCTTGATGCGTGGCAAGACGCAGGCGAACTGGCTACATAGTATTCCAAAGCGCGCTGGCCCTGAGGCAGGCAAGGGAAGGATCAATATCACTTTCAGGAAGGCGATGATCAAGGGCGGTACTGAGAATTACTACCAGTACAATGTTGGCACGGGAGGTGTGCATAAATGGGATGCGAAGGCCGAGAAGATGGTGCCTTGGACGGCGACTGCGGAGCCTCAAGCGTCTGCGAACGGCGATGGCAATAGCGCGGGGCCAAATAACGGAGCCTGATGGATCAGACGATATGGCGAATTTGATGATATTGATAATTGCACGCCAACCTAGGAAAAGGCTGAACAGCCTAGAGCCTACTTTAACGTTAGCTCACCTACTTTGCAAGGTTTTAGCTTAATGTTGCCTGCAGACCAGTTCGGTTTTTTCCGTATAAGGTGATTGCGACGAAATCGATATTTGCGTTCGGACCTAGATTCTGTATTTCGTCAGATAGTTCTGTTTCTCTTCAAACAAAGTTTCGTTGGGAACGTTTTTCGCATCAAATTACCATATGCACAGTGATGTGTGATACAGAAAACTGTGAGCAGGCCCCAGACTTGTCAAAAGCTTGTCGCTGTGCGAAGTAGCGGGCCTGAGTTGCCGCCAGCGAGCAGGTGGCTTGAGCGTGGGCTAGTTCGACCCCGCCTGGGGCAAGCGCGACCACGGGCAATCTTGACATGTGGAAAGAGCTGTGTGCGATGAGGGGCCATACGGAAGTAGGATAGTGGTAGTGGTGAAGATGAGCTCGCCACCGAAGGAGCTGACCGAGTCTGTACAGTCAGTCATATGGACATGCGTGATGGCGACATGATGAAGAGTCGCATGTCGCAGGACATCTTGGCGGCGACGGATGAGGGTGGTCGGAGTTAAAGGCCGCCTAATTCTGCCCATGGCCGTACCAGCCTTTGACTGCAACACCACAACAACCTCTTCCGATCTCCTCATCTTGGGTTATCCGAGTCGCCAAAGCTAGCGCATATCACCAAAGATCTAATTGAGGAGTCTGCGCCATCAAAGGTTGCTATCGTGGGTCGGGCGCGTTAGACGGAAAGCTGGCAGTGCGTGCAAGCCTGTTTGAGAGTAAGTACGAATCGGCGCATGGCTCTGTGAATGTGCAGCTGCTGACAGAGGCTAGCAGGTGTCAACAAGCCTTCGATATACCGCTAGACCACATTCCTCTCACCGCGAGGTCGACTGCCCATTGCATGAGCTGCACCTTCCCCTCATAAGAAGCGCTGCGTAAGCCGAATCTAGACGAAGCACCCAACGACGGATTCCCTACGCATCGATTGAAGCGTACGTCTGCGCAATACAAGAGGCAGTATCGGGAGAAGAAGAGCGAAAAGTGTGCCGTATTGGACGACATTCACTGGAGGGAAGGGCGGAAGCAAGTCGCATACAAGTCAACACCAGGGCAGTATCGCCATTTCAAGTCCACGCCTCAGAGTCATAGCACTTGGCGCATGGAGATAGCTCAGCTCCGGAAGATTTAAGACCGCACCGGGCCGCAATCGCAGAATCGCACACCTTACGACCTTTCGCTACACTCTCCTCTGCAAAGCGCATACTAGCGACCACCAACCTCTGCACGACACGAGTCTGGACCAGTCAACACCCTAGTCCTGCAGCTTAGGCGACCACCAAGGCGTGAGATTCCATCATATATCTCGAACGGACTTTAGCGCTTAAGTCCGCATTCTCCGTCGTCCCATATCACACCTGCGGACGACGCGATCGCGACCATGCCGCCCACTCCGCCTTCAACGACTTCGTCGAGCGCAGGACAGTCGCCGCCAGATCCGCAGTTCAGAGTTGTACGTAAACGGAATCGAGTTCCCTTATCATGTGGAGCATGCAGGCATCGAAAGTAGGCACACATCTCGACAACGAAGCAATCATCGCCACATGCTGACCATCGTAGGCTGAAATGCAATCGAGGTCATCCCTGCGACAATTGCACCAAACGCGGAGATACGGCATCATGTACGTACGCTGCTCCAGGCAACCGCAAGAAGAGCTCAGCCAGCACCGGTTCCGCCACGACGCCCGATGATATGCAGAATCGCATTGACCGTCTCGAGGGGCTGGTTCTCTCGCTGATGACCAATGGCGCGCAGAGCGCAGGGCCTGCCGCTGCTCAAGCAGCTATCGCGAACAGCATGGCCAATGCTGGCCCGGACCAGCAATTCGATCCAAGCCAAATGATCACGAGCATGAGCACCGGCGCTCCCGAGTCGATACCCGAGGAGGACGTGAACGATGAAAGCGAGATGGAGACCGTTACAAAGTCTATTGGAGTAATGAAGGTGCACAACAACCACACCATATTCGCATCGGAAGCACACTGGTACGCAATCTTGGGCGAATTGTCGGAAGTCAAGAACTACTTCGCCGAGCACAAGAAACAGTACGAGGATCAGCTCAAGCGATTCAAGGCAACTCACGTCGAAGATCGACCGCCGGGTACATCTTTCCTGATGGGCGGACAAAAACCAAGCTCCAAAACCGAGGTCCTATCGCGCTTTCCTCCAAAGCCCACAGCCGATCTCCTCGTCTCGCGCTTCTTCAACACATACGATCCCGGCATTCACATCATACACGGGCCCTCGTTTCAGGAGGAATACGACAGGCACTGGGCACAACCAGAAGAGACGCCTATTATCTGGCTTGGTACTGTGTTTGCGATGATGTGTATCGCGTTACAGTCGTACACACGAGCTGGCGATGAGCCTCCGGAATACCACAACAAGTCTTGGGAGATGTCAAGAGAATATGGAGACTTGACGGCGCAATGTTTGATCATGTCAGATATTACGCAGCCCATCACAGGAATGATGGAGACCTTGATCTTGCACGTTCATGCAGAGTATGCTCGTAGTAGAGATGCAGAAGTTGGCATCTTGATAAGCACGGGTATCATTGTGCGGCTAGCGATGCGCATGGGTTTGCATCGGGACGCGGCGCCATATGCCGGCATACCCGTTTTCCAGGCGGAGATGCGAAGACGTGTCTGGGCTGCGGTCCGCTCGTTTGATCTGCTCTTCTCCGCACAGGCTGGGTTGCCGCCCATCGTCCGACCGCGGGATACCAACACTGAGATACCGCGGAATATATACGACGATGAACTGCACAAAGACATGAAGATACTGCCTCCTTCGAGACCGGAAACCGAAGCTACACCTACACTCTTCCTCATCAATCGGACAAGATTGATCTATAAGCTCGGAGAAGCGGTCGAGTGCACCGATACTCTGACATGTTCTTCGTACGAAGAGGTCATGAAGCTAGACGCGGAAGCTCGAGAGCTACACGACAACATCTCGCCGCATCTCAAGATGCGAGGGATGGATGAAGCGGCGCGCGACCCTTCTACCTTGATCATGCAACGCTTCACATTGGATCTCCTCTTCCTCAAGATCATATGCGTACTGCATCGAAAGTATCTGTCTTATGCGAGAGTACAATCACGTTTTGCCTACTCCAGGAAAGCGGTTATCGAAGCCTCGATGATGCTTCTCAAGCACCAAGCGACCTTGCACCGGGAATGCCAGGCCGGCGGTCGGTTGCGCAACGTCAAATGGTTCATCTCATCGCTGACCACTGTCGACTTCCTTCTTGCAGCGATGATCATCTCTTCTGATCTCTACCACACTGCCAGGGAAGCGCCATCTCGATCTCCGCCGTCTGGAGACACACTCGTGTGGAGTTCAGATCGTTGCGAGGAGATGCTCGAAGCTATAGAGATAGCGGTGGGCATCTGGGATGGTCTGAAAGATCACTCCATGGAAGCGTACAAAGCGCACACCACGCTCAGTGTCATGCTGGATCAACTCAAGAAGAACCGGGTAGCCAAACAGACGCCCAATGGCTTCCAAGCAGCTACATCCGCATACCCGACAATGGCGCCAATGGAAGACGCCAATGTAGCACCTGAACATTCGGCAGCGATGACACTGGGCCTACTCAGCACAGGCGGCATGACGCCCAATGCCAACATGTTCGATCAGCGATACCCTGCCGGTATGGCCAATCTACTAAACGACCCTATGCCTCAGCCGTCGACGGGCTTGACACCACAATACAACCAGCCGACAAGCGGACCAACAGGCCCAGAGAATGCACCAAGTCCGTTCTCAAACCTGTTCGGAGCGAATCTGTTCCAAAATCTAGATCTCCCGCCGACAGACAATATCAACTGGGTTCGTCGTCATCACAATCCCGCGATTATCACTCGGCTAACATGACTAGGACGCATGGGACTCGTACATCCAAGGTCCCAATCCTGGTATGGAAGCGACCAACAACTTCTTCCCCATGGATCTTGGTAGCATGCCTATGCAAACAGAGCAAAACGGGATGCCAGCCACAGGACAGACACCGAGCCAGCAACCTATCCAAGGCAACCGAGCAAACATGTTCGGGCAGGATGTCTACATGGGCGTAAGTACTGATGATCATGATTCATTGCATTTTATTGATAGCTGACAGCAACAAGGCTGATTCCACAAAGACGAACTCTGGTGAAGCGTACACCATGGGGTTCCTGATGCCGAAGCAGTCTAACTAGTACTTCGCGCTCTTACGTTGTTTGCGAGCGGGTAATGAACCTATGATTATGTAACTTGAGCGCCGTTTGTATTTGCATGACTTGTACTTTCGGAGGCCGAAGCTTGGTGGTGTTACTAGATACCCGTTAGCTATTGGATGTACAAAAGGGCGGGAGGAAGGAGGCGCAGCAAGCCATGTGCCCCGCGCTGCGATGGAAAACATGAATGAACTCAGCTCAGCCTTTGCGCTCGTTTCAAATCCCCACATACCCAGTGTTTCCATGCCTTCTTCGCCAACTTGACCCTTAGTGTTGTCGTGTCGTTTTCCACCCAACTCGTATCCCGATATAGCACGCGACGATCAAGGTCCATACCAAGACGTCGACCCGCGTCGCTGCCCCACTTGAACCGCTGGACCCTGAATTGCCGGCGCGTGGGCGTCAAACGTCATCGCGGTCACGACTTGCTTACGCGCTCGCGGGCTTTTGTTTGGCCGTGAGGCTGCGAAAGGCGGGCTACCTGAGGCTTGGGTTGCACACGAGGCAGCTGTGCCGCCTACGTAGGTCTGCGCACGTCTGCTCGTCACGCACCTTACCTTTCGACATACAGCCGTGAAAGCGACGCGACGAGGCTGAGAACTGCGCATACGACCACTACTGCAGCATTCCTACGAAGCAGTCTCTGTGCATCAGATACCGCCATCGCAACTCCCTCCACCGTCCTCACAATGTCAAACCCGCCCACCATCTCCCCTCCCCCTCCCACCTCAACTTCAACCATCTCCCCACCACCACCAAGCGACCCCATCTCCCCCGTCTCCCGCACCTCTACCTTCCCGCACAAGACTAGTCCAGCAGTGTCTAGCCAAACTCCGTTGATCGACACGAATACACCTGCGATAAACGATGCGCCGGTCGAGTTGGACGGCGGCGCGATAACGCCTGAGGAGCTGAGGAGGCGTATGAGTACAACGGGAGAGGTAGGTGGTATGGGAGATGGGTTGGGGGGCGTGAGAGGCTCGATGCGGTCGCCGGATGATGCGGAGGGGATTGATGCGGAGTTTTTGGGTGACGGGATGGGGGCGGGGAGGGGGGTTAGGGAGGTATGTCTATATTAGTCCACTCAGCTTGGGGTTTCTTGGGCATGAGGCGTAGCTACGTGATCGTGGCTGGTGAATGATATGTGGGAGGGTTAGAGCACTTGGCTGACATAATACAGAAACGCGCCGCGATGCTGGCCTCCCGCTCGAAAGATCCCAGCGTTATCGTCGACGTACCGCAGGAACCGACCGCTGAGGAGGTGGATGCTGCGAGGAAGGCGGATGCGCTGTTGCCGCCCGGGATGAGGGGGAAGATACCTGAGGCATGATGATGGATGCTCGCATACGATCTGAGGGGAAGATATAGCGACGGGTTAAGAACATGAGTGGTGACGGACCGGAACTTATATGAACATGATAGCACTTGGATTGGGCTACTTGTTATCGATACATGACATATTGCCGCTAGTTCTTTTCTTATTTGGTCACGAACACCACGTCTTCACATCGATACCTTTTTGAACAATTTGCCCGGCGCACCTTTGCACGTGTACACCTTCTCCGAAGTGTCTATATAAACCGCTCCAAATCCTCACTCTTTTATTCTTCCAACACTACTTCCTACATCCTCACCATCAAAAGGTCTTGGAAAACCCCCATGTCCGCCGCTCGGCCCGCCCTTCTCAAAACGGCCTGCCAATCCTCCCATGTCCCGCCTTCTTCTCCATCTTTTCTACAAACCTCAAAAAAGAATCTGGAGCCTGTGATGACTTGGCCAGCAGACGGCAAAGAGACATCGGAACGTCTGCTCTATGCGACTGCGACTATCTTAAACGAAATTCCAAAACTCGGAGACCCTATGCAAATGTGCTGCTTCCAAAATAGCAACGACCATCGATATATGGTGTTCAGCCGGCGCTGAAGCACCCAGACCACCTGATGCTTCCGCCTTTTAAAGCCACCTTCTGCACAGCAGGATCTTTACTTTCCACTACCCTCCAAAACTATTCTCAATTCATCAAAGTTGAAAGTCGAACAAGACATGTCTGCTATCTCCTCTGGCACCAAAAAAGCACAGTTCGGGCTTGGATGTTTCGGCTGCGCTGTCGTGTCTTCGCGGACGGCACGAAAATACGAAGTCCAAAAAGGTCATGGTTGTTCGAGTTCGATCAAACCAAAGGACGGTTGTTGTGATGTTGGCAAGAAGACCACCCGATCTTACCAGAAAATGGTCTCTGCACCTGTCATGTGGAATCTTCCCGCGTCGGAGAGTATTTACTTCAAAGTTGATGTCACTCTGCGCATGACCTATCTTGACGCCGAGCGTAAATAAGTCACAAAACTTTACCTTCACTTAGTAATGTCTGGGTACCGAGACTCGGAGAAGGATAAGATGATCTAAGCCTGCGCCCAAAGACCACTACGTAAACTTCTTCTCTATGCTCCCAGACTTCCGTTGTTCAACCTCTTCCACATTGTTCGATATCAAAAATGAAGGTGGTAATTCTCATGTTGTTCGCTCGCTTCGCTCAAAATTCATCATCGGCTTCGGCATGTCCTTTCCCTGCGTGCCAAAAAACGCTAGCAGAATTGCATAACGTCGAGGCAGCCCAAATCCAAAAGGGGATGCCGACACTTTGATTTCACCAAAAGGACAAGATATGCCCGAAATCCTGGCTCACTTCGGTCGTCAAAAGCATTTGTGTCCATGCCATGTTCCAGAAGATTGTTTCCTCGTTGTCATTGCGCTCTACTAAAAGCCAGGTACTCAAGAAGCAAACCTAGACGTCTCATGAGCTTGGTGTGTCGTAGTTATCGATACTCGATTATTTGCACTTGAAGCCGGATACGTATGAGGGCTGCGCGATCAGTTCTACCTTTGCGCGCACGTACAAAAGTCTTGCAGGCACCGCAGTTCATCCTTCTTACTCTACCAAAATTTCGCATCTGCAATCCTAAGCCAGCGAAAAAAGTCCGTATGTTTGTCGGGATCTTTGCAACTCCAGAATAATGTTCTGACAAGTCGTATGAACTTGTCTCATCAAATCACAAACGTGAAGATTCACCAAAGTACTGTTGAGAAGATATGAAAGCAGCGAAAAGACTCCGAAATTTACCACTGCATACCCATGTGTCTGGTCAGCCTTTACAGGCTCGATTTATGGCGTTCTCAATTCATGGAAATGCCGATGCAGCTGTTCCATGCGGACGAAGAATACCAAAAGCCACACACTCGATTTGGATGTGTTCATCAGAGCATGAGCGCTGGCTCATAGCAGTCCGTAGCTGAAGAATTTCCACCCAAGAGTCTTTCCGGGCCCGCAGTCCATATTGAAGTCAAGAGAGAATTTCTTGTGAAGGCTGAGCTCAATACATATAACGAAACGAAGATAGAAGGTCTCCCTGCCTGATACTCGCCAACACCCTACTTGCAGTTCGTCCCCTTGTAAACGAACGTACCATCCGAGTTCTCACACCCACAACTCCCATCCTTCGGACTCTTAATGCACCCCGCGCCATCTCCCTCCTCCTCTCCCTCAACCCCCGCCTTCGCCCAGAAGAACGTCCAAGTCCCCGCTTTCTTACCCATCTTCTGCCCCGGCGCGCAGTTGTACGCTTCACACGTGCCGTACGGCCACCCGTGGTTACCGTCGTACTGGTGGTCTTGGGTGAAGACGGCAAAGGTCTGGCCGGACGTGCGGGTGTTGTGGCTGCATTCTGCGGCTTGGATGGCTTTGCTTGTTTTGATGGCTATGAGGGGGTTAGTTTATGGGAAGTTAAGGGTGCGGAGGCGTGAGAGCTTACGGGAGCAGGATGGGGCTGACGGGTAGCTGCCGTTTGTGTTGGAGGTTGCGGGGTCGAGGGTTGCGGTGACGCCTGTGGCTAGCATGAAGGCTGCTGCGATGGAGGATTTGGTAAACATCATTTTGATGTGGATGCTGGGTAACGAGCGTGTGGTGTTGTGAGTATGGAGTTGAAGCGGGTTTGCTTGGCTACAGCGGCCGAGTATCTTATACAACACCAACCCCTTCCATCACGGTAATGTGTTTTTCCATTTACATGAGAAGGAGTAGGTGATCCACAAACACGTACCACCCAATTACGCAGTCTTATGGGATTTGCGGTCTGGATGGTCTTGAAACGGACTAGACAGGGGTTGTGGGTGCGCAAAGCCACATTACTTCTTCATGTAGAGTGGAGGTGCATCGGATGTTTCGTGCCGCCAACGGGCCGAGCCTACTAATCTTCAATTCCCACATACTGGTGTCGGTGCTGCGACATGCTGCAGCGTGGAGACGTTCAGGTGGCCATAGGTCTTGTGCGTCAAACTCGCGGCGTCAACGTCGTCTCTAAACTCGGAACCATGACCGGCGTTCGACTTGAGGGTACTATCACATCGCGTTGCCTATGATGGGTTGCTCCCAGTTGAACATCGCTTATCCTGCACGGCATTAGTAATATGCGCCCTTCAGCATTACATGCACACTTCTCTCTTCTTACAAAAAGGCCTTGATCGAGGCCGTCGCAGGAGGCATTAGCCCAAAGACACGCGAGGAAATTCAGTCTCCCAACCTGCCTCGATTTCGTATAGCCTACCCATACTCAAACGAGCTAGCGCCAACAAGTATGAAAGCCCTCGGGCTCGCAGCCGAAGCTCAAACGGCGTATGTTCGCGATATACTGCAGCCGGTACCTTCACCAACTGAGTTGCTTATCCGGGTAAGAGCCATAGCGCTCAATCCTGTTGACTCACTATACGTTGCGCATCCACCGGGCAGCTCCAGGCGCACCGTTGGAAGCGACTTCGCTGGAATCGTAGTCGAAGCAGGTTGGGCATTGACTGGGAAAAAGAGCAGCAGCTCTAAAAACATGTTAGAAAAGCCTCGAAATAGGAACGACATGATCAAGTCTAAGTAACTCTGAAAAGCAGGTGGTGCGTCCTCTAGCGCTTTATTCTGTAGGCTCCTAGGATATAATTATCGCAAGCTGGCTTAGAACCTGTAGACAAACACGTGTGTACACAGCAATATGTTTCTTAACCGACACCGGGGCTGAGACCAACACTGCGGTGGCATTCGCGCTTCTACGCCGCTCCAGCACATCAACAACGTCGCTTGCTGCAAATCGTTTCACAATCACAATCGCATCCGTCGTATAGCGAGATGAAAACCGCTACTGTGCAGGGCAGTGGAGCAATCCCACAGGCTGGGAGTTCGCATCGTCCTGACCTGGACCTATTCACTACACCAAGTTACGCCTCTTAAGATTCCAGGCGTAAAAGTCAACGTATCGACGAGATAAGTGGCGCATCCCTTGCTCTTGTAATGGAACCGTGATTGCTGAAGTCGACTCCACCAACAGTATGGTGGCTTCTGACATCAGCAGCACTGAGCGACAGGCTCGTCACAATCGCGTCAGAGAGATCTGTATGGTAGACCCTTCACCAAGCCGATCAGTCAATCGGAGACGGCATTGGAAAGACCCGAGCAGTCTTCCAGATGAGGACGTTGTGGCGCCGTACCAATAGGACATCGTGGGATGGGTAAGTCGGTACGGCGCGGCTCTGCGACCGGGAAGGATGGTCCAGGCCGATGCAGCTTCCGGGAACCGAGATACGGCGTAGACGTCAGTCGATGAAGGCGTAGCGAGCGGCACGATGTGATGTGATGTGATGTTGAAGGTTGCACGACAGCTGCGCAGATGCTGGCGCAGCGGTTCTCCCCATGCCGCTAACCGGATTCGCCGTGTGCCCCACACCCGCGTCATCATTGGTTGAGTCCGCGGTCTTCGGTTTGTCCCAGCAAGCAGGCAAAAGGTTTGCGCAATACATAGTAGTTCGCTGATGATACATGGATCAGATGTTCCATTTATGTGAGACAGCTTGCTTCAAAAGCACAGTTGGTTCCAGCACAGCGAGAATTGCAGTTTTAGCCAAAACTACCAGAGACGCCGCTTCCAATTTACACCAACGCTTCACCTATACTACCATCCAAAGATACAAAACGCGTTTGAATCAGCCTGGGAGCTGCTCAACTACTGCGGGTCCGTCCACCCGTCCTCCCTCCCGACCACCTTCTCAACCTCCTTAACCACCTCCTTCAACGGCTTCAAAATCCTCCTCTGATAAATCACCACAATGCACTCCACATCCCACATCTCCAACTCCCCGTTCTTAGCCCCCTTGTATTTGCCCAACAGCCCAAGCCCCTCCGCAACATCCCCAACAGGCCCCTGCGCCGACCTAAACTTCTGCACTGCGCGCGACCCATCTTGATAAACACCCTGGCTCTTCTTTACAAACAACTCGATAGCCTTTCCCCGCTCGATCAGCGACATCAACCCCAAGTCGTGGAATACCTCCACTTGTGCGTCGATATGCGACTTCACGGTTTTTAGCAGCGTCAAAGTTTGGTTGGCGTCAGAGCGTGTCATGACGGTGCCGTAGATGCTTTTTACTTGGCGGGCAAGTCGTTTCTGTAGCTGGAGATGGTGTTTCTTTGATGCTAGAGTTTCGAAATCGGGGTCGGAGTCGTAGGCGAAGTCGGTTTGGGGTGCGGTGGCGTTGGCCATGCGGCCTTTTATGTAGAAGGATGTGAAGCCTGGCATTGTGGGTGGAATATGGATTGAGGTTTGGGTGGTATGATGGTTGATGGATGAAAGTCGTTTGGTGGTTTAGTGGTTGAGGAGAGCAAATGGGGTGAACACTTGGTGAGGCTCAGAGACCGAGTCGTTATATAGATGGAAGGGAGCGTTAGTGGCAAGTATCGAGGTGCTGGTTCCTGCTTGTTGCTTGCATGCAGCAGTGAGTTTGCGCTGTGCATGAACGACCGCGTACTTCGAGGTCACAGTGGTTTCCACTTCACAAGGAGTGAAAGTCATGAGATGGGGAATGAACGCGAAGATCTAGGTTGATCTTCCGGGCTTCGCGCTCGAGCTTCAAGTCTTCGCGGGATACTTTAGGTCTGTAAATTAGTTGGTTGGCAAGTCGATAACGGTGGTTTGTCAGGGCTGTTCGTCGGAATGGTCGTCTCCATGCTCAACCATGGTAGCCAAGGAGATCTAGGTTGATGAGGCTACATGGAACTGCAAAGAGTCAACGCTTACGATAGTAGTCAAAGTTAAAGAGCAATGTACACCTAGGATATCATCATAATACATTGAGTTTACATACTCATTGTGTCCTCTCGACGTTGTCTACAACACCAGCACGTACAACTCCAGCCTTGCAGCCGCAGAGAGAACAGTCTTATCCCACGATGAGGATGATGACCGCAAGAACCGCAGCTATACCGACGCCGGTTGCCGGTTCAATGGCGGCGATAATGCCGATTGCAAGGACGCTCACTGCCAGGCTATACTTTATGACAGGGTCAGAAGCTGCGTAAGGACATCCACGTGTATAACAGTTTGTAGTAACGCTGCCTACTGTCCAGTCGGCTGTAAGGGATGGGACAATTTGGTGGCGGGGGTAGGCTAGACTCAATGCATGAAGTCTTTCCAGTCTGCGCCTGGACGCGCGCAGGGTGCTGCATTTACAGGCGGCTGTAGAGAAGTGGGCTGTTCTCATAGTGAAGTTGAGAAGTTTTGGAGTTGTCGTTGTGGGTGCTTGAAATCCGAATCAAATGTTGTGGACGGTATGAAAGACTAGACAAAAGAAGCAAATGTTAATGTTGCAGGCTGTTCACAGTGCAACTTCGCAGTATGGTGTAACTCAACGCCGATGAGGGGTGATACACAATGTTTGATAGTGGTTGGAAAGACGTACCAGGCCGTGATACCTGTACTCCCGCTTGGTATCGTTGTTAGCAGGTCGACTTGGGGCGTGGAAGGATGATGTTTCGACGTCACAATGTACAAAGTGAAAGAGTGGCGCATCTTGTCATTCTGGATCGAATGAAAGTTGAATGTATTGATGAGAAGCCCCAAGCAGCAAAACAATGCCGGGATAAGTGTCGCAAACGATTGCTCTTCGTCCCCGGTGAGGCTCAAAATGCCAAGTCACGTCCCCCCATACTTGCCCTTATTACCAACCTTGTGCTGTCGCTGTCGAAGCATGGGGGATGCAATCTCGAGTCAACCTTGGAAGTACCGATACTCTCCAGACCAATGGGATTGTCATACGTGGTGAAATTAACTGAAACGGTTCAAGAACCGCCTGGGGGCGAACATGGAACAATCCCGATGTGTTGACGGGCCGCTTTCGACATGTTATCCAGTTCTCTCATGGCGTCATCCAAAAGGTGCATGCAACGGTACAGAAATCCAGGAGTGTACTATCGAAGCCGATCCTCTGTCCGAGAAGTCAGCTTTATGGGCCCGTGACCATCTTGTTCAACTTTTCCAACTCACGCATTTTGTTCAGCTCGTCCAGGATCAACTGGAGCTCGTCCTCGTCCATGTTCAGCGAGGGAATGAGGGTGGTGGCCTCTTCTGCGGTGTCCGGGGTAAGCGTTCCTAGCAACCTTGTCAGCACCACGTCCATTCCCTTCCGATTCGTGTATTACCAAGCAGTGCCTTCTCGACGACGGAGATCTCAGGGTGCGCATCGAAGAGGGCAGCGATCGAGTGCAGACTGTCTTCCTCCTTGTAGCGAGCGAAGTTGTCTAGGTAGTCGAGGAACTGTGTGATGGTTCTGCTACAGTCAGTCCTGGCTCTTTCCTTGACGCTCCCCTTGTGTCGTGTCTTCTCGAGGCGACTCACATGCTGTCGTTGTATATCCTATCGCGCAGAGGGTTGTTCTCGGGGTCCTTCTTCTTCCGGGCCTCGTGGACAGCTGTGACGACGGCGCGCGCTTCGGAGACGGAGAGGGCGTGGACGTCTTCAAAGTCGCCCAGCTTGATCTCAGAGCCCATCTCCTCCTCTTGCTGCACCGGGGGCTTCGGGCGCGAAACTAGCCTTGGGGCCTTGAAGACGGGTGGCTCCTGC